CCGAGTCAAATGAAGCAGCGCATACAGTGCTTATTAATATACGTTGGGTAAGGGCAAAACCCGTTATATATAATATGCACACTGTTATACGTGACTTTTCCAGTTTATTGACTACTCCCAGTCAGATTTTGTAAACCTCTTTTGAAGTTTAGTTATTCTAGGAAACTCAACAATTGTTGATAACTTTGTCCTTTTTGGGTCGAATAAATGCAGCTAAGTAAGCCATATCCAATATGCAAATTTTCCTCTGAGTCCGACCGAGTTGCTTGCACTTCTGAAGATCCATCAGCCAATAGCAAATGTGCACGAACTACTTGTAGTGACGGCGCTAACAGGCCAGTGGGGGCGCTAGTGTGGCTCTAAGGGACCGTGCTGGTCCCTGCCGGTTAGCTTTGGGCCCACCCCTGCGCGCGGCGCCAGCGCAGTAGCATTTTGGGGATATTCTGTTACCTCAGGATTCTTTTGCGCCAGTTCTGGCAGACATGATTCTGGTGTGATTCGATCCAGTGCTAATGTGAGAGGAGATCCAGACTTGCTTGTACTTTTGTATTCTACAAACCCCGTGTGTGTTCGCCGGTTTTGAGGAGTAATAAAGGCCAGAAGCGACTGGACCGGAAGACAAGCGTTTGTGCCCCTCTTTCATACGTGTGCAAAACTCACTAAAAAAAAGTGGCGACTTTACACTGGTGGCAGAGGGGCACGTCTCAAGCGAAGGTGAGGGTAATTTGTTCTCCTTGGCTTTAGGCCTCCGGTCATTATGGATATGTGTGATACAGAGAGTGGGAGCTCGGGTCTCTTTTTGAAACAAAAAAAGTACCTCAGGACGACAGCACGATGCTGGAGGAATTAATCCTTCTTGATGGAGGAAAGACAAAGTTGTAAGCAGGCTCGTGAAATTCCTAGCTTTTGTGAGGGGGCCCTAACGCCATGGAAATTGGCCTCAGAAGTGGTCGGCGCTGCACGGTGTCTGACCAGGCCATGCAGTTGGAAGTGCCGGGGGAGGGAGGCCCTTCTCGGGCCCCGACGGCGGCGATTACGCATAACCCAACTAAATGGGCCAGGGTAGACCTAGATTAGAATTTGTAAGGACCCTCGGGGGCCACCTCGCCACAGTCGGTGGCACAGAAACTGGCTTGCACCGTGCGGTGTCTGGACGGACCGTGTTGCTAGAAGTGTCGGGGTGAGGCTTTACTTGGGGCCTGATAACAAGGAACACAGTGGGCTTAAGTGCAGGTTAGTAGGGACTCCCAGGGGCCACCTTGCTGCAGATGGCGGCATGGGAAATGGTGTGCACCGTACGGTAACTGAACAGACCGTGTCGCAGCAAGTGGTGGCGGAGGAACCCTGCGCGGGGCTGACATGTACAGTACCATCCCATATACTGTGGCTAGTATGCGAGGGCCTGGTGCCCAGGCCCGGCAGGTTCGTAACTGATTCACAATATTTGGGATTAGGGGGGGACTGCGCTGATACACGTACAGATTGCGGGTGTGTCCACGCCGGATTCCTCACGAGCCCACACGCGAAAATGTGAGGCGCCGTCAACCCATCCGTATCAGTGGGCTGCGAGTAGGTCCGTGTCGGATCCTTCATCGGCCCATGCGCGGGTACTCGGAGTGACGTTGACTCATCCATGTCAGCGGGCTGCGAGCGGGTCTGTGTCAGATTCCTCGCCGGCCCATGCACGGGTACTCGAAGTGCCGTTGACTCATCCGTATCAGTGTGCTATTAGTGGGTCCATGTGGGATCTCTTGCGAGCCCCTGGGCGGGCACTTGGGATGCAATCAACCCATCCCTGCCAATTTGTCACAAGTGAGTCCATGTCGGACCACGTGCGAGCTTATGCGCAGATACCTGAGATGAGGCCTGTTGGGCGATGGTGTGGGCGACCCACACATTCGCGATTGGAATAAAGCCAAACCTGCTGCTGCGACAAGAGGGGAATGGGGGCTTGACTCCCGACTGGGGAGACACATGAAAGAGTGCTGCTCGAGCCGGCCACCCAAGTGCAGGACCCGGCTACTGGTGTTCCGGGCCTAATGCCCTAAAGCAACCCACGACGGCGAGTCGACGACCTACGATGTTGCCCGACATATTCGACGGAAGTTCGTCTTTGGCTGATTACCTGGTTCATTTCGAGAGTGTTGCAATCATAAAACACTGGAGCGACGCTGAAAAGGCAGTGTTCCTAGTTTCCCATTTGAAGGGCGCAGCCCAGGAGGCTCTGGGGGATTTGGCACCGGAGTCAGAGGCTCAGCACAAGAAGGTGAAGCTTGGAATCAGGTACCTGCAGACCGTGGAGCCTCCTGCGCCTGCCCCTGATGAGGAGAGACTGGACCCGGCCCCTGCTTGGAGGAGGGGGCCGGTACTAAAATGAAGTGCTATGGCTGTCACGAGTTTTGCCACATAAGGAGGGATTGCTCAAGGCCGAACAGGGAGCCGACTGGTGCTCGACAACAAGACAGGGGGCCCCGCCCGAGGAACAAGTGAGGGCCGGCCGCCCCGGATGGGGATGGCCGGCCGGGGATTGCTGAAGAGGTGCCTGACAACCTTCGGAGTTTACTGAACTGGGGGTCCGCTCACCTCAGTGGGGGTAGCACTCACGCTTGGCCAACCTCTTACAGCCTTTGGGATTCAGAGCGGTCTTTACCAATTGAAGACAATGCCCTTTTGGCTCTGCAACGCCCCGGCCACGTTTGAGCGCCTCATGGAGAGAGGAGAGGGTTGCAGTAGCAAGTAGCAGTAGTCTACCTGGATGACGTCATAGTCACTGACCCCGCTGATTCTTCTGTCTCGGCTCTGGTGCAGAGTCTGCATGTCTTTCCCGCGTCTCCCCACCATGTGTCTGCGTGGGCGTCGGTCGTTCCAACAATGAAGGTGGAGCCACCAACACCTCATCATCAGAATTTTCCGAGTCCAGGTCACTATCAGAAGATTCATCAAGCATGGGAAGATCTCGGAATGGGGTCCCGGGAATCGGCAACTCACCTCTAGGGTCGACAATGAGCATTTTCCGATTGAGCCACTTCTCTTTACCACCAATAATACGCCGGACTGCATACAAATCCCCATCTGCATTGTGCCTAACAATCACAAATTGCTCAGTGTCAAAGTGATTACTGAGTTTGTGCCAGTCTGTGAACTGGCACTGCTTCAGTAGTACTCTGGTACCTACTGATAGTAGTTCTGCACGTGCGCGCTTGTCATATTGGCGCATATTCCTCTCAGCTGCCTTTGTGAGTCGTTCCTTTGCAATAGCATGGGTTTTCTGGACAAACTTAGCTTGTTGCTTGATGGTATTTTCACTCCAGTTGCCTGCTGTGTTGGCAAGTAAGTGATCCAGGGGGTGGATGGTTTCCTGCCGAACATGAGCGTGAAGGGAGTATAGCCGGTTAGGCTATGAGGGGTGCTGTTGTAAAAGAAAACTAGATTTGGGAGTAGCTTGGGCCAGTTTCTACGATTCTTGAGTTCAACAGATTTGATGAGGCCACAGAGCGTTCGGTTAAAACTTGACCATTCCCTTGTGGATGGTAAGGGGTGGTCCTTGTTTTGCGTACTCCGTACAGACTGTACAACTCTAGCACAAGGCGACTCTCAAAGTTCCTGCCCTGATCCGAGTGGCTGCGGGAAGGTATACAGTAGTGCGCGAACCACTGATCGTGCAAGACCTGAGCCACTACTTCTGCTGTCTGATTCTTACAGGGGACTGCTAATGCAAACTTTGTGAAAATGTCCGTCATGAATAAGACATCTTCGATTTTACCATGCCCTTGATCTAATTTCAAAAAATCAATTGCCAAACACTTGAGAAGGTGAAACGCCAAGAGGTGCCCCATTGGAGGCCTGACTACAGGTGTGGGGGCTTTCGCTACAGTGCAAGAGAAACACTTTTGAATGTGGTCCTTTACATGGAGATTCATTCCGGGCCATAAACAACGGTCTTTGATCAAACTAAGAGTTCTCTGTACGCCCTGGTGGCCCCACTGGTCATGAGCGGTCTTAATGATTTCACCTTGCAGTTGCTTTGGTACGAGCAACTGGAGAACTTGCCCGGTTCCACGGTCACTTACTGCCCAGTACAACACACCAACTATTTGAGGCCACTGCTTTAACCAACTCTTGACTTCCATTGTATTTTTATTTTAATTCAAGCCACCTTCCCCTGGGTCCCACTTGCGTTCCCATAGCCTCTACTCCTCGCCAAGTGCCTCATCGCCTTTTTGGATTAGGGCTAGATCTGAGAGAGAATAGGATGGCAACACTGAAGACGCTATCGTGGGAGGGTCCTCCACAGGACCTTCCTCATCCATCTGGGCAAGCTTAAGCACTGTGGTAAGGCATAGGTCATGGGGAAAAGTAGTACACTGCGTAACAGATCGCACGCATTCAATAACCTCGGGTTCTGTTTGGTCCGATGGGTTGCAGCTCAGCGCATCTGCACACTTTTTTGAACGTCCGGAGCGATTCGAGGTCAAAAGCTGCAAACTGGGCGACCCATCGCTGTTCTGTGTTTCCCAGTTTCGCAGTCTGAAGATGGGCTAGAGGATTGTTATCTGTCCACACTGTAGTGTGCCTACCCAGCAGATACTCCCTAAATATCTCTGGCACAGCCCATTTTAGGGCAAGTAATTCCAGCTTGAATTTAGACAAATCGGAATATCCTCTCTCAGCCTCCCTCAAGCTGCGACTGGCATAAGCCAAGGGGTGTAGCTCGCCATTGTCATTGTGCTGAGACAGACACGCGCCAAGGCCTCTAAGTGAGACATCAACTTCAACGACAAAATCACGATTAAAGCGCGGATACGCTAGAACTGGTGCCCCACAGAGAGCTTGCTTAAAAATCAAGTGTATTAAATGGCTCATCCCCCCCATGTCCATTCGAATGGCACACGGGACTTCCCTGCTTTTAACGCAGCCTTGCCTGTCAGCACATGCAAAGATGCAGCAACTTTGGCGAAATTTTTGACATAGCGCCGAGAGAAGGACACAAGTCCAAGGAACGACCTTAATCGTTCCACACTAGTAGGAATTGGCCAATCTCTCACTTGCGCTACCTTGCTGGGATCAACGGACACTCCGTTGCCGCTCACTATATGGCCTAACTGAGTCACTGAGCTTTTGAACAACTGGCACTTTGAGCCATTCAGTTTTAGCCCATTACAAGCCAGCCTGCCAAACACCTTGTCTAACCGGTAAAGATGCTCATCAACGTCCAAGGAGAGCACAAGTAAATCATCTAAATATAGAACAACTTCTGACAGGTTCATATCAGCGAAGATCAGTTCCATTATGTGCTGAACTGTGCTTGGACAGTTGGTTAGTCCTTGCGGCATTCGAAGAAATTCAAAAAGTCCCCATGTGACACGGAAGGTAGTCTTAGGAATTGAGTCTGGGTGTAAGGCCATTTGAAAGTAACCATGTGCCAGGTCAAGCGAAGAAAATATCTGGGAACCCCCCCAATGACTATAAGGTCTCCTCTATCCGGGGGAGCAGAAACGCATCCTTAGTGCTCTTTGCGTTTAGGCACCTGTAATCTTTACACAAGGGCAACTGCCCATTTTTCTTCCGCACCAATACCACAGGGCTGGCATACTGACTCGTGGACTTCCTAATGATATTCCTATCCAAAAGGTCCTGCAATAACTGTTTAACTTCCGCGGCTTGACTTGGGACAATTCTTCGATATAGCAGATTAACAGCCTTTTCATCTGTAAGTTTGATTTCATGACGGATAAGATCACAGTACCCTACATCAAACGGATCCATCGAAAATGCACCTTCATGTTTCTGAATCAACTTTGCTGCTGAAACAGCATCTGTGGCTTCCAAATTCCTAAGGCTGAGACCTGGAGGTAACAAGTACATTGACCCATCAGGGAATGTAAATAATTCCCGTTGTTTGCCACATGGATTCTCTGTGGAATCATTATTTTCATGCAAATTTACACCAGGCCCCTCGTCAGGGCTGTGGTCAACAACAACTTGGTGAACACACACTTCAAAATCATTCGAATTGGAATTAACTAAAATTTCCTCATTCACCGATACCTCAAATGCCACTGCAACTCTAGTGAGAGCAAGAAGAAATAATGGCTCAGAACTCTCATTTACCACAAATACAGAAATCTGACTGGTGTCAGTTTGATGTATGCCGTCCACTACTCTAATGGTACTGTGCACAGATACCTGAACGGGGGGAGGTTGTGAAGTCAAGGGACATGCTTGCACTAGCAATGAACTATCCTTTAAGCTAGATTGAGACTCACTCAATGTTCAATGCACAACTTTTACGGTTCGGGGGGGGGGACAGTTGCCGACTCCCGAGTCCAAACCTTAAAAACCCCTGCCTAAGTAACTTCAGAACAAAGCTTCTCTTCTTCAGCTACTCCCACATTAGCCCCGTCTATGGACTTAAACCACTGTAAGGCAAGGTCCCATTCGGGATTCCTAAGAATCTGTGCTAATATTTTCAGCTTAGAGGACAAAGTGCGCAACACATTGCAGCCAAGCAAAACGGGGTATCTTTACTAGCGGCCTTATCACTTAACACTAGAAATTGGGCAGACACTAGGGACGTAACAGCCCCAGTGTCCAACACACAATCTGCCTGGACACCACCTACTAATATACTTGCTACAGGGCTTTTCCCAATAAGCTTTCTCCTCTCTGCTGTGGAGATAACCCTATCTAAGTCTAGAGTCTCAGTATGATCTGTTTGATAGGTGGGCTCGGAACTGCCCCCAACCATACTACCCTCTATGGTAGAGGCACCACTTTTCCCGCCTTATCTTTCTGGACAGGCTTGGGTTCTGTGCTAGCCTCGTTTTCTCTCTCTAGTAAATTCCTCTTCTTGTAGCACTTTTCAGCTACATGGCCAGGTCTCTTGCAAAAAGAACACCTGGTGACAGGTCTATTTGAGTTGCCCTGTCCTTTCTCTATGAGAACAGCTAACCTGTCAAGTCGGTCATTGGTGACTGCCTGCTGCTACCGCATGACAGTCTGCTGTTGGATCAATTTGTCAGTGGCTGAGGTTAGGCTCTTCTGACTATTCACGAGATCCCCCAATACTTTCCTACTGGCTAGGTCCCCACATGTCGCCCTATCAACCCTGTGGTCAGTCTGTTCAACCGAGAACACCTGATCACCAACATCTTTCCCGGTGACTAGGCGACATGCATCGTCATCCTGAAATAATCTTAGAGTCAAATTCCGGATCTCAAAAAAATTCAGTTTTGGGTAGTCAACCACAAGTCTGCGTAGCTCCCTACGGACAGTAGAATCAGTCATCAAAGATCACATCCCTTACAAACTGCTCTTTGAGTGCCCCCTGCCTTAATTGACACAATGCTGCCTTCTCTTTAAGGTCACTAGCAGCAGACTCTATCCTATCTCACCAGCGTAACATAGAGCGGTTATAATCAGTAAGGCTCTCTCCTTCCAGCTGGTGTCTGGAATAGAAAGCATGGTTCAGGGATTGAAATGTTTTCACCGACCTGAATCTCGAAAGTAGCAGCCCTTTAAATTGTTCAAAGTCAACCCTGTCGCAGGGTGGGCAGTACAACATTTCCTCACGGGCACTACCTGTGAGGTGATCCATTGCAACAGCCACCCTTTCCTTGTCATCCAGACCAAGCTGTCTTGCATAAGAATCTACATCAGTAAGCCATTCCTTAAGGGATGGGTCATTGGACGTCTTTGGGCTACCACCGAACTTAGAGAGTTTGACGCTAGGAGCGCGCTGGTACCTTAAATTCGAAAATACTTTAGCAAGGGTTTCCCTTAAGCCTGATCAGACTTGTTTGGCCATACCCAACCAGAAGGTGAAAAGTATAGGCTACAAGTAGGCTAACTACCCAGCCCAATATAAGCAGAAATCTCTATCATACTCAACCAACCAAAATTGATGCTATCACTTCCAAATATCAATCACTTCAACATATGAATAAGCATGACAATTAAGTCATTAAACACACATGTAAACTCCAACAACCTTGGAATATGTCATAAAATGCTAAACGTAGGCTTATACACTAAATCTGTCGATTCAGTGAAGACTCCTAATCAACAAAGAGAATACACAATGATGCAAGATACAATATTAATCTAAGATTTAGCAGTCCAGCTGCAATTCTGCCTCTTGATGCAAGGATGTGAACTCGAAGGCACACTTCCACCGGTAGCAGCATCCGCCTTCACGGTAATCCCGGAGATCCGTAGTAGCAGCTCCGCATGCCTTCAGTATTGTACCGTCGCATCAAAAGTTGCACAGCTGCATCCGAAGCTGCCTACTGCACCAAAGGTTTTGCCAAAAGTTGAACAGCTCCACCCAGGGATTGTAGATGGTGATAATGAGGAGAACCAGTTCCAAGGCGTACAGGTTCACATGAACTTGAAGTTGATTGCGATCAGAATGCACCCATTCCCATCCTCGTCGCCATTTTCCTGTAGTGAAATCCTAGCCTGTGGTAGTAGCACAGCAGGAGGTGGGGTTCATCGCAAAGTTAATTGGGATGAGTGCGAATGAACCGATGACACAAAGATTCCACATCATACACAGGAGATGGGAATTACAGTCAATCAATGGTTGGGTTTATTAGAATCTTGAAGAAATCAAAGTTAATTAAGGTGGTTGAATCAGGAAGCTGGTGCATGAAAAATGTGAAGATCTCTGGTAAAGAATCTCTATGGTAAGAAAACCCCTGGCAAAGAATCCCTGGGTGCAATGCCTGTCTACAGGTGATACAAAAAAATAATAATTCACACTTAGTAATAGTAGTTCTACATCCATGCAGCAATGGCGGCCAAAAAGTACATGACTTCAGCACAACACTAAAATAAACGCAGCAAAATACAAAATACTAACTTAACAAAGTATTGAAAAGACACTCACCATAGGTTCTGGAGATTTAGGCCCATCATAGCCTTACAGGGCCATCATACAACCGAAGGGCTGACACCCCAAAAGGTGAAATTTCCAGTGGCAAATACATACCAAAACCTGACGTAACACGGAGTAAATGAATGGTTTTCACTGTGGGCCGGAACTAATCGGAAAGCGCGCCTTACTGCCTGGCCATACCACTCATGTACACACTGAATATTCTTGCACCCATTATGGTGAGGTTTATCAGCTAATAAACATATTAAATAACACAGGGAGATTGAGTGAAAGTGAAAATAATTAGATTCCTTATAGTTACAGGCATCTGTGACAATTAACAAGGTCCCCTCGTGTGATTGTCAACACATAATATATTTAATAAATAGCGTAGGCATTTCAAGGCAAAATGCCCTACGCGCGGGAGAGAACAAATGGATAGAGTTCATATGTAAATAAGGTCAACCCTAAAAATAAATCAGTTTCTAAGGCCATGAGAAAACATTGCGCGTGTATGAAAATGAAATACACATCCCCACACATATTTGGGGGTTTCAGTGTTTTATTTGTCATTCTGTTTCATTTTCATTCGTTCTTAATCTATTTGTGTGTTCCTGTTTTTTTTAATTTTTATTTCTTTTTTATTCTTTGTTTTGTTGTATCTATTTATGTTATAAAATTTAACCTTCTTTCATTTTATTTGTTTATTTATAAACACTAAACCCACTCAGCCAGAGTGATTTTAAGGGGCCGTGTTAAAGATTACAGTTGTGTACACTTTGAAGTGGGGTCCCCTTGATGTTAACAGTAACTGTGTCATCAAGAAAGTTGCGCAGCTTTGACCTTGCACCCAGCAAGATAAGTACAGTTTTCTCAACATGAGACTTAATTTGTTTTGATCGAGCCATTCCACGACACTAGTCATATCTTCGTTGATTTTCTCTTTGAGATCAAACTCATCTTTTCTGGCATAGTACAAAGCAGTGTAATCAACATAGATACTGACCTTACAATGAACTACATGCAATGAAAGGCCATTAATTAAAATGATGAACAAAAGAGTGCTGACAATCGATCCTTGCGGTATTCCGCAACTTACTGCACGAAGGCTGGAGCTCTTCCCATAAATTGGAGTATAGTGAGAACGACCCTTTAAATAACTTTGAAACCACTTAATGCCATAGTCGTCAACACGACTTGAGCTTGAGCTCCTGGATAAATATATTTAGATCAATTTTGTCGAATTTTTTTTAGATCAGGCATGACCACTCCAACCATATCGTCATGATCAAAGCTACTGAACCATTCATCGGCCAGGGCCGTAGAGGTTGAATGTAACGCTCGGAATCCCGATTGGTTGATATTTAGCAGCTGGTTGAGTTCATGTAATTATACAGCTGGTCAAAGAGTGCTCTCTCGAGGATTTTTGAGAAAATTGGGTCTAAAGTTACTCGGTTCCTTAATGTCACCTCCTTTATGTACTGGGGTGATTCTTGTTTTCTACCAGTCTGCAGGTTTATTTTGAAAAACGCCTGTATTCAGTGAGAGAATAATAAGATGCGTCAATGGACCAGCAATGACAGGGACAGCTATTTTAAATAGCCTAACACGACAATTGTCATGTCCTGTGGCTTTGGTAACTGCAAGTCCCTGAAGCTGCTTCAAAACAAAATCCTCACCAACCGGTTCAAAATGGAAATTTCCATTTGAGACTGCAGCACTGCCAAGATATTTGCCGGATGAATCAGTGTAAACAGGTATTTTTGTCGCAAGTTTGGGTCCATTACTTGCAAAACAATTATTAAGCACATTGCCAATAACTTCAGGATCAGAAGTATCTTCGCCATTTGTGTGAATACTGCTAATCGCAGAAATGTTGAATAAGATGTTTGAGGTGCTTTAATACTTGCCCACTGTCGTTGTTTGACCTGACGGCTTGATGGGAATACTCCTTTTCAGCCTGTTGAATATTGACATTAACCTGGTTGAGCAGAGTCTTGTAGTATGTTTTCCAGCAGTCATCATGTTTTGAAGTGATAGCCATCTTTTTTGAGTGATCCTTTTTGTGGATCCGCTCCAGTAAGTCCGGATTTAACCTGGTTGGCTATTTAGCTGCACGCAAGTGATAGTGTGTCTTTAGCGCTGCCTAAAGGCGCCTTTCAATGAGTTTGTCAACACTTACACGTTTTCGGGGTGCGTTGTATACACGATGCGTTCATGCATTTCACTTTTACGGACTCAAAAATCGGCTCCATTAATATAACACGCGTGCGTTGCCTTCGGCCGTCCAAGTCGCCCGGGGAGCGATTTTGTTGCATAAGCAACGCTTGGTGCAAGTGTTGACGCGCATATGGAAAGTCGCCGATACGCTCTCTCACGCGTGATCCCGAAAGACTTTGGCTTCTGGAAATACCGAATTTGCTCATTCTGGAAGTTTTGTGAGCTTTACATGAAGACATCATGCGATTGCGCAAAGGTTCACTTTCAAACGCATATATCCATTTGAAAGAAACAATTTTTCTACGGTTTGAGGATAATTAGGAAATAAAATGGTCTACTTGGTGCACATAAACTTTGAATTTATTAATCTGTTTGACACGTGAGATCTTCAGATTTTTTTTGTTTTTTGGTGCCACGCCAGGAAATTTGAAGTTTTTCGACACAGAAATTTGGCATCGTGGTATGCCATGTTATAGGACGGACAAATTCATATCGTGAGAATACACTGCAAGTCGGGCACCAGTGTCAGTAACTGTATGTTCTGAAGGAGAGCTCCACTACTCTTGGCCTTATCGACGGGTATTACTGGCAATGGTGAAATCAAAAATATGGACAAATTTAGAACAAGGTTACTGGTTTTGCCGCCAATGGCAAATTATACACTGCCTTTATCATTTTGTTGTCACATTTAGCGGATATTTTGTACAATGAAAATCATACAGCATTTTCACTTCCTTTTAGATTCTGTGTAAACGCACAGCGCGTCTCTAAGATCATACGCGACTCTCAAAACAGGGGCAGACTGGCAGACAACGTGGCTGGCTATATCCTACACGTCACCAGGTTTGGGAGCGATCATGGATCTCAATTACATTCAGAGAAATCTCCTAGGCCTAAACGTCTACCTCTTCATTGGTCTGGTTCTGGCCTCGGTTATCATGATCAACGAGTCTGTTTGCTATCTTTGCTGCCGCAGCCTGTGTTGCACTGGCAGAGGCGACCGTTTTAAGAAGGAGTGAGATATAAGGTTAATTCATCAAGTTCTAAGATCTGATAGAAATTCATAATTAGCTCTGAAAGGTTTATCCCAGAGACAATGATATTCCACAAATCATCCCTAAATGCAAAAGGATTGTCATCAAGCAGACTTTTAGGAATTCTTTTTGAAAAATATATCAAATGCAAAAAAAAGTAAATTAAAGTAGGCCTAAATGCAATTTTGGAACTGAAAGTTTCTGGATTTTCTAATTATATTCGTGGGAGTTTGCTACTCCGAAACCTGCTGGAAATCTTTTGGAGTAATAATACAATACCTCAAGAGTAAATTGAAATAACACCAACTTTGGAAAATGCTCTGTATCATTCTGATTATTTTCCTCTGAGCTTGCAAGTCTAAGCCGCACTGTAATAAATATCTTGGAATGTATTAACTACCCTAACATTGATGACTATAAATTCCTTTGCATTGTAATGAATCATTAAACAAACAGCAACCGTTTGTTATTACCAGACGTACATTACATTACATTTTAATCAAACACAATAGCTTTAACCGTGTAATTTTGAATTCATATCAAGTTCATTTGAAATCCATTTACTGAACAAAGATGCAGGAGTTTGAGTTTATAATTATTTAACAAATTGTTTATCACAATAAATCGTGTTTTTTGTCTCCAAGCGATTAGCGATTTCATCACACACTAACTAAGTCTCGGAAAGAACTCCCCTCAAAAAACCCACAAGTCCAAGCATCACAAAAAGGGTAATTACTCCTTTTAATGTCAAGAGGTACATGTTGATTTTACGGCTGACATTCATCACGCTGTAAGTGGTGAGATTAGGTTTAATACTAATGATAAAATAACAACCAAGCACATCAAACGTATTTCTTCTATTCCCAAATCCCTTGAATTGAAACAACCCCCCAGAAGGCTCCCATACATCCCCAAATTACAGTTAACTATAGGCCTATCTGTTGTTCGATGCAAAGTGCCAACTTGTTCCAGTCAACTGCACCCGTGGCATCAAAAAACTTGAAGACGCTGATCTCCTCGGGTATCTCTGAAGTGTCTCTCGTGATTGGAATAACCACCCGATTGCAATCCTTAGTCTTCCGAAGTCGGACAGCCTGGTTCATCGAATATTCACACTCGTTGTTGAAGTCTTTATCGTTTATCAACAAAATACTCGCACTGCATTTCATCAGCTCAATTTCATTCCTGAATACATAAATTCCTGGTTTGGCGTCCCTATGACGAGTACATCCTTTCAATTTCCGGATTTCCTCCAATTCTACCAGAAGGTCATACGACACCCAATTTTTCTGGCTCTCAGGGTAGACTACAAAAAAGTCGAACTCGAAGCTGGACACTCGTGCTTTCTCAAGCGCTTTCCTAATTGGCTGCTCCTTCGATCTTACAGGTTGCTCCTTGACGCCAACTTTTGCCATGTCTCTAGCCAGAGATGCCATCTCATGAACATCATCACTCTCAGCTTCCTTCTTGGACACAGTGAATGAGACAGCATGATCAGCATCCACATCCAAATTTTCATCAGCGACCACGCCTGAGGCTTCCTTTACTGTATTTCCACTATCTCCTTTTGTGATGTCACCTGCCTTGTGAAAAAAAGTTTTAGTCCAAGGATGCTTAAGTTTTCCTCCAGTGTCAACACATACTAGGCTAGCCTGGGAGACAGGTTCAACTGGCGCTAGTAAAGATGACAGTTGACTGAGTTCCCCATACTGGCCACAGTAATCAACCAGCTGTTGAAATTCGTCTGCATATGCAGATCTGAACTTGTTAATACAAAATGTTCTCATGTTTTTCTCTCCATATTTAAGTAGCGCCCTTTTCAAACAGTATGCAGCCTCAGCTAAGATAGCTTTGTCCTTGGTAGGTTTCTCCTCATGAAGTATACTCATATAGACGTTGAGAAGTTCATTGAAGTTACCGGTGTAATTGCTTTTTGCAGGTTCACAATCTGTTGCTTGTTTGTAGCATCCGATAGCTGAGCGTTTTTCTCCGATATCAAACAAGCATCGTCCTCGCATAAGATGTACCTCAATCCTCTTGTGACCATCTTGGCAATCCGCCGCTTTGGTGAAATGCAACAAGGCTTTCTCAATCAAAGACCTGACCTCGCCATCTTGCTCTGTGTGGTTCTTGGCAAGGAGGTAATAGACCTCCCCTAGGCGTGCCAAATCCCAAGGGGTCACATGCATAGCCATTGCTTTTTCCAGGTCATTTTTGGCCAGCTGGAGAACATTCCGAAGAAGACCCATCTTGGAGCTGTCTTGGCCTGCCTCTCTCAACTGGCTATAATAGTGCTTGATGTTGATCATAGCTCTTGTAGTGAATGCATAAAAGTTGAACTCTGAACTGTCCAGACTTATGGACTGCTCCAAAAGTTCCAAAGGTTTCTGAATTTCCTTCTTTAGGGAGTACAGGAAGTTTGCATAGCGGGCCAAGAGCCTAGCATTGTTCGGCGACACCTTCATAGCCCGCAACATGCACTTTTCTGGATCGTCCTGGAATTCTTTGAACTCCTGGCGCAAATCTATAGAAATCTTCCTGATTTTCAACGCTCTGAAAATATCGGCCAAGTGCCGCCAACTATCCCATTGGAATTCGGGATCGCCTGGACTCCTCTGAGTGATTTCATAAAACAGATTTACAGCAATTTCAATGTTCTCTTTGGAAGCACTATGCTTATTCTCATAATAAAGATTGTCAAACAGTTTATGTGCATTAAATGCAATGCAAAATTTCCAATCGTCTTTTTCGGTAGTTTCTACAGCTTTCCCTCCAAGTTCAAGTGCCTTTCGGTACAAATCATTAGATTCCATGTATCTCTTCCCCTCAACAGTGTCAGAGTGGATATCAAAGGCATACGCATACGCCTGTTCGGCCAGGCAGCGGGCTTTAATCATCCTCTGTGATTCAGACAACTTAGGTTTCTTTGAGCTGTCTGCGCTCTCTCCTAAATCAAGTAAGTGGATTTGCTCATCCTTGCAATGCTGTGCCTCAGCCATTCTAAAGAGCTTCTCTAAAACATACTGCAGGTTGGCTAATGCATTCAGATTGACTCGATCTTTGGCCAAGACTGCGTGGAAGTAGCCAAGAGCTTCCTCATGACGGCGTAGTCGGAGTACCAGAAGACCTTGCAGGTTCAGGATGGCAAGCTCTTCAGATCGGCCTGTTCGTACCCGACGGAAGTGATCCAAATCTCTAAGTTTTGTCTCCACCACGGCTCTGTCGATGTTGATGTCTTTGTTGATGGGTAGAGGCAGCATGTAGAAGCCTGGAGAGATGTCTAATGCCATTCTTCTGGCTGCTGGTAAATCTTCCCGTTACAGAAAAACTATTGGGACAAATCAGAGAAAAGACTACAGGTAAAAATATTGACAGCCTCGTATATCGTTTTATCGTGTATCGTTTTATCGTGTATCGTTCTTAGATAGTTAAACAGGAAGGTTAATGATTCCAAGATAAAAGCAAGACTTTTATCATGTACACAGCTATTTCGTAACAAGCCATTTAACTCTTTGAGACATGTATGTAATTGAAAGGTTACCCATAAAATAATGGACTTTTAAAGTCACCTCAAATTACATCTCACAAAATTCAAACATCTGTGTAAATAAGACAAATGTAAATTAAGTTTTTGGAATTGGTGAAATTAATATTTTGAGTAAAAGTAAAAAGGAGATACATGCATGTGCAGCTCAAATAAATAATCAAATAATAACTGCCTCAAATTAAAACTATTATTGTTGGTGTCGACATGGAACCTTCCTCACAAGAAGTATGAACCACTTCAGGAAGTGTAGACCTCTTTCAACGCGTGGTGAAACATAATGATGACATAATCCTGAATTTTCACTTATTGAATTAATTGCGTATTTGAACACCATAACGAAATAAATATATATAATGTATACCTCTAAAACAACGTATATTTTCAACTTACACATACAAGATCTCAGTGCATTTTATATCAGTAATTATGATATAGAAAATAGCCTGCAGCCAAAACGCGCATGCATTTGATATTTCAAACGGAATAATACATGCACGCAACCTATTTTGCATTTCGATTTTTGGCAAACGGTTTTCATGACGCATCGTTTTAGAATACAAACGCAGTTTCTGCAAACAACCACAGGCTACATAAAACTGCCACACAAAATTTCGACTTTTTCATAGGTGTGTGCACATGGATGGCTGCACTTCGCATTCTGAACTGGTGCTCTGGTATTTTTATTTACATGGCTATGAGGCTTACATAAATCTCACTTCGTGAGTATGGGTCCATTTGTGGCTAGTGACTCGTGCACCGAAAAAAAAAACTTAAACTGTTCAATTTGAAAGCCAAAACTTGGTCATTAATTACGTCTTGTTCTGACACCACGAGTCCCCAAGTCAAATGCAAAAATATGCACAACTCTGGCAAATCTGCGTGCTGAAATAGTTGTATAAATTTGAGGTTTCTACTTAGAATTTTTTGCTTAGGCCTATGAATGAGCTAATTTACGTCAGGATAAAAAGGACCAAATTTATACCCTTTGAAAGGGCGAGATGTAAATTCCAAAAAAAAGTTAAATGAAACATGAATCATTTACGAAGACTTGGATTGAAAGTTAACCGTTTGCACTGCATGGGCTCTTAAAACGACAGTTACAATAAAACAAAAAAATGGACTTCTACTAGTTACCATCATAACCTCTACCGGAAAATTAACCAGCATTTAACCTCTACTATCCATCGTGGAACAACGTTTGACAGCTGGCATTCCCTGGCATTTCTACGTTTTCTTCAAGTGAAATCAAATCAAATCTTGTTTTTGGCCACACACCTCTTACAAATTTAATGCAAACCTTCAACTTTTGTACAAGGCACAAGCAGCCCTTTCTGAGGGCTGTACAATTCTTGAATATGAAAGCCTTGGACGATACTGAATCAATTAATGTCCACTATCACGCAAATCATACTACATCTACATGTTATGTCAACGAAGAGTACTTTTCCTCGATTGGTTTTATTTCCGAGTCAGCCATCTTGAATCGAAAGCGAGGCAATTCCTGCATCATTTTTCTAAAAACCTATTATGTGTAGGAATGAATGTGATATAAAGGGGCAAACGTAACATAACTGTCCTCGTGCTGCGATGGGCGATTTAACACTCATGTCATTTGTTTTCCAAATGAACAAAAAGTTTTTAAAAATTAATGTGATTCTATACCTAAGATTGTACGTATAGCTAAATAGGCTCCACCCATTAAGAGTATTAAATAAATGAAGCAGATTTGTTTAGCACGATCCAAAGCGGCCATTTTGTGAATAATGCCCACTGAAAATATGCCGTAGGCCTACATGACTGGATGTAATAGAGAAAAATAGTGTTGCGTTCCCTAAATATCAAGTCGATGGTAGCATGGACTTTACTTAGTGTTTACGGGACGTGATATTTGGGGTCAACAATTTATTAAGCAGTGGACGTGAAACAAGGGGTTTGGGTGACAGTCAAACTGTATGGTTGGTTTATTGCTCTCACTTCTCTTCATCAAAGTTCAATGTGGGTTTGAAGAAGGTGTAGCTTGACATAATACAACACACAAAAGGCAACGTTATAGAGAGGCGAAATTGTATACGAGTGTAACTAAACTACGGTTTGGCAGGATCATTGGAAATGCAAGTCAGACGGAGTGGGTTACGGTACGTGTGTGTAGCATCGCACAGCTAGGCTACATTCATCGGGCCGGGCCGTGGTGGGAGCTGTCCCGGACCACCACGGTGACTAGCAAGGGCTGGACGGGGCCAGCGCTGGTATGTACCGACCGCACTGCCGCGCAGACCGCAATGAGTTGAGCGCAATGATAAGATCGCCGCACTGTGTACCATTGGCTCAGCGTAGACGGGGAGGACTGGGCTAGTTAGCAGGACAAGGGTGGCGAGGGACACGGGGGTGTCCCGCCCGGCAGTCGGTTCGGACGTAGCGGTGACGGACCGCTATGACTCTCACTAGCACCCTGGGCTAATTCGTACCGCTCTCGCATCGGTCCAAGCTAAGCTAGCTGGCCATTCATATGGTTACATTTCTTCGCCATAAGAATGGTTACTATCGCACTTCTCTCGGAAAGGGTCCAACCGCCGCACTACGTTAGGTTCCGCTCTCGCAACTAGGGTTTGGTCCACCGCACCTGACCGACGAGCTAGGGAAAATCTGGTCTATTTATAGGATTCTAGAGGCTTAGGAATTAAAAAAATATGAGCGTCGCTGAACAGCTCAACCAATGAAAATCTTCCATCATAAAGGGTCACATGACTTCCTGCTAGAGTCGTGTGCAAGAATCTAAGTGTCGTGTGTAAAACGGTAAAATACAGAATAAGAAGTCACGTGTACAAAGTGTAGAGCCGGGTGCGTGAAAGTGCTTACCCGGTCATCTGTGGCGAATGATTGACAGTTACAAAGTCTGAGGTTTCTTGACATTAGCATTACAGGGAACCTTACCACACCCAACCACGCAGCCACATGGAGGGGGATTTCGACGTGCCAAAACTGAGCAGAGAAAACACAAGGATAAAGGAGTGAAGGAACACGCGATCACGCCAGAGTACAGCATGAATAACTTAATACAAAATTAACGTCTCTGCTACATGTCCAAAATGCATAGCTGAGCTAAATAAGAGACTATGACAAATGCAAGGACCGATAACGAGTAAAGCTAGGGGGCGCTAGAATTCCAAGATTTGCGGGTGCGCAACAATATATTAAAAATGAGCTAATTCTAGTTGTTTTACATGTTTTAGAAGAACCAGTATATTAAATTCAGTCATTTCTTTTTTTTTTCTTTCCAACGAAAAGATTCCTTTGTATTTAGTTAACATGTACATTTTTTAGATATTTTAATTTTTTTCTCGAGTACTTTAATCGATTTCAATCAAGCAACCATGCAACTTAGGAGACAATAAATCTGTGCTAAATACCTGTATGGGTGTTTTTGGAAAGATGGCACCTACAGTCCTGGACTTTGATAATTTTGATAATCAATGGATATCATGAGACAATTTTATCTCTGCGCTAGCAACCATGCAGCAAAACCATTCAATTGCCACAAGTGCCCGTAATGGACAACACACTGGTATTCTACACAGTACAACTGTATGGAAGTTTCACCAAAATAGAAAATCATATCAGAAAGTTGCATTACATTCCCCAATACTGGTCGGAATTCCGGGAGGCTGAATACTTTCTAATATGGACGGTTTGAAGGGGTTCAAACTATCCCCTCCTCTCTAATTCTCTGTAATCCTCCATTATTTTTCCTTAAAACACCTACCCCCTGAATTGTGCCACGCCCCCAACCATAGTTCTAGGGGTATCAAACAACCACAAAACAGAAATTTTGGATCCGTCTTTGCAATCATTTAAAATGCACACCGTGCGATTGCAGGATTTGATGTCATTTTTAAATACATTTTCCCTGGGAAGTATACCCACTCGACCCCTTACCCCCTTGATTTCGGTTTCCCAAGCCATCACTTTTCGAACGCCTTCTGATGATCTTGAGAATGCCCGTTAGAGTCAATCACAATTTTGACAAGATCGCGGCTTGAGATACAGAACTGCAAGTCACTCCGTGTGACTTGCAGCCCACCTTTTTTTAACGGGTTCGTAACGCTTTGGGTTTTTAATGCAGCCTGGGGAAGATTTCAATGGTAAAGTGGCATTTTTGCTGCACAGAAAATGAATGTATCTCGATTGATATGAGTGGGCTGCATTAAAAACCCAGAGTTACGAACCCGTGGGCTGCAAGTCACACGGGGCACTTGCAGTTCTACGGGTAATGTGAAATTGCAGACGTCATCTGTACAAACAAAATCTTGTTAGAACCAAACAGATGGGGTTTCGGTCCTGAAACTACAAATATTACGTGATTCATAAATCATGATTGATTGGGTGCATACTGGGCAGCAAACATGCTTACCTGGTACCCCCTTACGATGAGAAGCTTTTTACGATCTTCTGTATAGGGCCTACGGGTACTTGTTGGAGATGTTTGCAATCAGTATGGTTCTATAACCGATAATAATCCTCCATGTTAATCGTGGAGGTACGAAAACCAGAAGAACCGTGAACATTTCTGCACAAAGATCGAGCGTACCGTGTGTATTTCTCAGATCAAACGGGGATTTCCCTCTTAACAGCTGGTAGCCAGTAATATTGTTAACTCATTATACATTTCACCCTGGGTACCAGCAAAACCGGGCCTCGTGTAAACAGCGCCCTCTTACATTCTGTGAGTAATGGGTCTAACGGGTGTGATTTTTTTCAGTTCGGTGTTTTCAATCCAAAACAATATCATAAAGGGAAGTTTTTACCGTGAAAGTCGTTTTATATCAGAATTGGAAGAGGACTGATCTCTGTCTTATCGCTAAAGGTTCTCAAAGTCACAATGAGGTGTTGAATGAACTTTTAACATGGTCCAATTTCAACAACCAAACATTACATACTTCATAGATGAGGTCATCCATACCGTTGTCCATCCATAAACACAGAAGTAATTTTATAGAACTTCAAATTCAGTGTGCGAATTATTACAAGCAACGTGCTGATCCTTAATTAACACAAATTAGAGTGGACAAAGCCTTTTTTTCTCTCTCCATGCAAAGACTTTAATCAATGTAGCAAAACTTTCATTAGCGTGGTGTATGTAGGGAAAAACTTTGGTCATATTATAAATTGTTATAACAAAGAGCAAACTTACTTCTGACACATACTTATACTTAGCAAGATAACTGGTACAACAGGTGAAAGCCGGGGGATCCGAGGGGACCGATGGGTACAATTACCCCCCCCCAAAAAAAAAAGAGGAGAAAAAAGAGGAAAATTATATTTCTGGAAAATAACAAAAGGTAAAATTTATGGTGTATTTCACTTCCCTTCATTCAAAGTATGTACAAGTGTTTCACCCAATTTCCAAACAGACAACACGCTTCTTAGAATTTAATGCTGAGAACAAAAAGAGAGCCACAAAGCCTTTCCCGAACAAGACATGACGAGAACACTTTTCGCAAAATCATTAATTTTTTTACACCTTTGAGAATCATGTGATGTAAAAAGCACCACCCTGACCCTATCTCGTTCTATCTAGTCAAATATGCCTGATTCCATGATGTTCAACTCAAGGCCCTTACTACCACACGAGACAGGCGGAGAGATGGTGACTTCAGATGAATCTTGAAGAGGTGATTCTCTCTCTGCTTCACTTTTGTCGTCTGCAGCTTTCGATCTACCAGCATCAAAAGTCTCTCTCAGTTTCACCAACAGTGCACAGCATGTGACGATCATCTGTACAAACATATGCCATAAAAATGATACAGTGTAAAGTAACATTAAAAGCCATCTTTTTACCTTCTTACTAACTTTAGAAAGATTCTGTCCCCATGGGACTCAGTGACATGCAACTATAACTTAACTGTTTCCTGTGAATTTAAGAAGTACATCTTCAAAATTTCTTGAGTCAAACATTATCGTCGAAGGGGACAAAGTAAATTTCCCAATGCAATAATTAACATTAATTTTGCGGTAAGATCTCTCAGCATGGGAAAATCTGCACTAGGGTGATATTTACTGGTGAAGGTTTTTCCAAAACACCGGTGTCATAACCCCAGTTTGCTTTAAAAAAAAAAAAAGAAAAGAAAAGTATAAGAAAAAATACGATTAACCGTCCTCAACATTCATGACTGAAATGTAGATATTTTCCCAGAAAAAAGTCAAGACTAGTCGTGTCAAAGGTTATAAGATATATATTTTAGAAGGAAAACTATGTTTCCAGCTCCTATACCTGTATGAAGATTGCTGCGCAGAAGATGTAAGTATAACTCCCCGACGGATAACGTGCTGTTTGGAACCCAAAGTAACAAGTTGCAGTTATCAAGGTGTATGTGCCAATGAAGGCCCCCAACTGCCCAATAATCCACCTGGATGAAGGTTGATTCCAAGTCTTGCAGATAATGGCCAACACCAGGCCCGAGTGGACAAGGTTGTGAATCAAAATTAACCAAAATGGTAAACCAATGCCGAAGTACAGTGGTAGTTCATCACCAAGAAGACAGCTGAGGAAAGAAAAGAAATAATGGCTTTGAAAATGCTATCACGATATCAAGTGTTACCTCATCCTGTTACATTTTATTCATGTCTTGTTTCCTTCACTCTAGACAAAACAATGCTAAGTCATGGAGTACAAACCCCGTCGGTACATTCACTCGTTTTCCTTTTAGACACATTTTAATTGTGTCGAAAAAAGTTTCCACAGAATGAAAAACAAGGATAATGTTTAACCAGGAAGGAAATTTTACAAGTTGGTAGACTTTGTGTCATGAGACATGATTTTAATATACAAGTGGTTATTTTGGAGGTTGACAGTCTGAATGCGGCTAAATTCACCTTTCTTCGTTTCGATAATCTTTTATTTTAGATTTGCATTAGGCAAATTAGATGTTGAACCACTTCTTCAAGCAACAATGTACTCACAAATCTCCCCTGCCATGAAGGTCGAATGTAAGAAACAACGATCCACCTGTCACCAGCATCGGGAGGCCTTGTTCCAGACAAGGAAAACGAAACACCAAATTTATGATAAAGAAAAGTGAAGTTTCAGCAAAGGCAACCTTCAAGCATGGAGAAGACGTTTTATTGATCAAAGCTAAAATTTGCTTGAAATAAGACTACATACCCCATGCCAAAAGGCTAGCTATCGTTACACGTACAGGACTTTTTATTGCCTGGTCTGTCGGTCTTGCACTGACGTAGACGCTTCTCGCCTCGATGGCTGTCCACACCAAGGTTGTTAGTGGTAAATATTGCAGTAGAGCAGACACCACCACGCACCAGAATGCAGAACCCTGTTCAATCAAATTAGGACGTCCAAAACATCGACAAAAGACGGTGGAGGTTATTTCTTACAGTGCAACAACGCTTGAATACTTTGAAATTTTGTCGACACTTCAAGAGTTTTACCTTTGCAGTGTCGACTCCTGCGGTGAACACCAAGTAAAGCATCAACAAGGAGAGGATGAACTGAGCAAAGCTTGGGCTGAATGTGCTGCCTCGAAGCCTCCTGAAGGATAAAAGGTAAGTCGAGCAACTGTGGAGTGTTTATTTATTGTCACAGAAAACAATTATACAAAGTAGAATGACTTTTTGTTTAATCTTCGTTAAATTAAGGAGAAAAGATGAAGAAATGGAGGTTCTTGTAATTGAAAAGGAGCACATTCGAATCAAAGAATCTCCACCTTTTGGGTCGTTTCACCGACTCCTCCGACTATTGTCCATCGTACAGGAGAAAGAAAGGTTTGTTTGAACAAGTTATATTTTTGAGATCGTTCTCTGTTTTAGTAATACTTTTTCTGTTTTTGGAAACATTTGTTTTTACGAGATTTATTTTCAAAAATTGTTTTTATGGGATACATTTTTTCAAAGTTTTTTTTTCACGATATTTTTTTCTAGCCCCAGACTGGGACCAGTCTACTAGATCACCTCCGTATCCTTGACCCCACGACGGCCCACCCAAAAAGTGGAATATTCGCTAAAAACGCTTCCTATGAGGCTCAATTTTCTTATCTGGCTCACGCACACATCTGGTCATTGATCTATCAGTACGGGCTATTTTTAGTTTGTTTCGGTCCGTGAATTTTTGGTTTCTATTTTGGACATCTCAACACGGACATTTGTTCACTACGGCGATTAATGCTTTATCGTTGGACGGGTGAGACACACAGTCACACTCGATTTCAAGCATTGCACGTATTTTGGTTCGCGTTTGTCGAACGTTCTTAAACAACGTCAGGTTCTGGGGACCTACGTCTTTAACGCTGTCTGATTCGAAGACCAAACAGATCCTGACTTTGTATCACCTGTTTCATAGGTTCGGTGCTTTCAATTTCTAAAACAAATTAGGAACAGGTTAACCGGTGTGAATTTGTCACTGCTGAGTGGAAGGATTATTCTTAACAAAATTTTCAAAAACATCAGAAATTTTTGATTGGCATTAAAATTATGGCAGTACGGTGGATTTAATCGCCCGAAATAAAGGCAAAGCAACACCTGCATCATTTTGATAAGGATTCTTACCGCAAGGTGAGAAATGCAAGAAGTAACAAGTAAAAACTTGCTGAAATGATGCAACTTATTCGCACGATAGGATCCAGCTTACGCTGATGTACTCTCAACTCTCGTGCCATCTCCTGCAGAGAAAAGATGTTCGGGTTTGGGAGATGAGAAATCCTGTCAACAATGTATCAAGTAGACCTTTTGGTATGACCTCGCAAGTTGTATGATAGACCATTTCCAGAGTGTAAAAAAAAAGACTTGTTTAATTCAATTGATAATAGACCTGAAATCTAAAAAGGCGTTTTATAGCAAGATATTGTAATTATTGATAAAATTTATAAGCAACATCAATAAAAGAAATCGTGGTTTGTTTTGACCATACATCAAATGTTTGCAGAGAGAATAAGTTCATCTTGATAAAAGTGTGAACTTTTCATTCTGAAGAAAATATAGTTTAAAATACGAATGGCTGTTTACTAAGTATATGGCAAAGTGTGTTGCTTGGTTACACAGGCATCTGTATCTCCCATTGGTCAGTAGGTTAATCTCACATCCAACATTTGACCAATCACCGGCTCCGTTCTCCAGAGTGAAGTCCCAGAATACGCACACGGCAAACTGAGTGTCATCTATCACTGGAACCTTGGAAAGAAAGAGTTAAATGCAATAATATCAAAGTACTAAAAGAGATGGAGTCCTGAGAGGTGAGGCAAGTTGAAGTCATGTGCCTTGCTTGGGGTCACAACACACATCAGAACTCTTGATTCAAGCATCTCAAACTCCGATTAATACTGAAAAATACTGAAAACTATACCATATAATCCGCAGACGTTGACAAAAAAGCACAGCTAGCGACTGTGACAACCAACCTGAAATTCAACGACGACTGGTACCGAGTGATTGGTCAGTTGCACGTCATCAACACTGATTGAGACCACGCCCCCAGGAAAAGTGAAATGATTCCCCCCTTCAGACTTCGTCATGCGGTAAGAAGGGAAGAGAGTGTCATCCCCATAGATGACAAAAGTCGCATGAATCTGCTCAAATGTGTTGTTGCCTGAAAAAGAAGGATTAACTCTACAAATTCTCGATCATAAAATGTACAAGATTCCTACTAAAAAACGTGTTCCTATCCATAACATTATCATTTAAAACAACACTACGGGCTAGTCAATTCAAGTTACAGCGCAGTTTTAGCTACCGTTTGATATGCTAATTGTGTTTTCCAGCTACGGATTCAGTGGATGAGGTACGGTGGGGGGGTCATCCCCGCTTACTGTCATTGTTTTATTGGAGGGCGCTACGGGAGTTGCGTAACTTGTTTCTAAAGGTTGGAATACCATCTGAAAGGTATCAACCGTTTGGTGGTCTTAGTTTGCGTGAACTATGAATTCACCAACAGCGACAACTTCATGTAATAACCCACCCCCTACGAACTGATCTTTCCCACCCACCCCCGGCACTTGGATCCGCCCATGCGTTTACATGTTATCCAGAAGTTCTATCTGCATTGTGAATGCTTCACTCTCTTGGATTATTGAAGTAGATTGGAATTTTAAGGCTGCCAATGCCCTTATCGTTACTATACCTAACTTCGCCTGTGCCAACTGTAGGACTCTTCCCGATAAACTGATCGTAGTGGACGCATCACCTGGTATCTCACTGATACTATCGTACATCCTGATGTCTGACCCTACAAGTGTATCAGCTCCTAGTTTACTTTTGAACCAGGCGAAGCTCAGGTCACTGCCGACATGGGACAAATTGAGACCAACCGCCTTAGCCTGAATGAATTCCTTGTGGATTCTAACAGCGCCCTCCTGACGAAGCGATGACGAGATCTGCGTCTGAATGGAATCTCGAATGGAGACAAGACTGCGGCTGCGTCGACAATCGCTCCCCCTGTTAGCGTGTAAGGACTTCATGATGTTACTGACAGCCTCGTGAAGATAATCAGTAATCTGCAATTTGTAAAATAATCAAGTATTTGTCCCTCAAACCTCAAATAAATCCTCAGAAAAAGAATTTTACAGGGGTGTGGCCAGAATCTTTTTCTGGGTAGCAATTTTTTTTAGGAATTGAGTAAAGTATTCATTAGCAGCAACTTCATCAGTTGTTCGCGGTATCTGCTGCTACATCTGATTCGAACCAGCCAGCCAACACCAGCAAGCTCGGAGGTCAAGTGGGTAAGACGTCTTTATGCAGGAGGTCGTGGGTTCGAATCTCACCGGAGTACGCTTGTGGCCTTTTTTTGCAAGCCAAGTATGCAGTGTTAAAAATATACATGTCGGACAGGGGAAAATTCCAAAATTAGTTCCGTCTCCCCGGCGCAAATCTATCTTTGAAATAACTTCATCAGATTAGTGATAATTAGAGATTTTCGTTCCCGTACATCCTGTTTTCGTTTCTTAAACTCTCACTCTTTCTCTCATTTTCTTTCAGGCAGGGGCGATCTAAGTCACTTTTTGGAAATCAAGAGGCAGACCACGAAAACCCGACATCGATATTTTTTTACCCAATGAAAATGAAAATGGCGAAGCTTATCTTTCCTGACTAGATGGCACAATAAACTGAATTGTAACGATCAGCACTTTTGGGTTTTAATTAACTTCGATAATCACCCAAAGTAGCACGTAAATAATTTTTGGAGGCTTTAGAGTCATGAGGTAAAATGCACAGAACTCGTTTGTTGAGATATGTTGTTCAACAAGACAGGAATGACTATGTTTTTCGAAGTGCAAGAGGACTCGCAATTACACCCCATTACACCACGAGTCCAAACTCAACCAGAAGTCCACGTCTGGTGGGCAGACTCGATTCAGCTTGGACTCGGCTTCTTGGACTTCGATAAAGCGACTCGGTTACTCGACCCAATGTGATATCAGTGTAACTCCTTCGTGGCTTTCTGGCCTTTTGTTTGATATTTAATGTATTTAAATATACCGATGTACACGCAATCAAAGGTCAGCAATGATTAAGGACAGTGGATATACATTGTATATACCTTCGGTTCACCAACACCCATACAGGCCAAGACATGCAAGATATCTGAAGCGTGTTCCAGAGTCACATCGTCGAATTTTGATGTCTTGGATGTCTTCGAAGCAAGATATTCAGCAACTGTTGTAACATTAGCTCTCACAACTGGAAGCTGCTCAAGAAAAAGAGCAAACATTAATCTTCAAGAGTGGCCGTATTTTTCAGTCTCGTCGGGATTTGAAATCTAAACAATATTTCTTGGTTCTAAACTAACCTGAGAAACCTGTTTGAGGTCAGTTGTAATTCGGATTGGACCACAGTTTCGTATCTCTGGATTTTGCCATCTTGAAATTCTGCCCTCGATACCGCTCGTAGAACAGTTCCTGACTGCTAATGGCATACCATCTACATGGAGAGGAGAAGCGAAATAAAAGCAGATGTCGGGACAAGGGAATTCCATCTCGCTCGAGAACTAAACAACTCTACCTTATCATATCCGCATGTACACAATACGGTGCAGAAATGCAGAAATTGGTTCTGAAAAACCAGAAAAGCCTTACTTGATTTTGAAAAAAAAGGCAGAAATAACTCAAAATTTTGAAGATCTCCAGATCCATGGCTCCTTTTTCAATAAACTTACATTTCTGGCTCACGGGAGGGCATCTCTCTACACATTCCGCCTGTGTTCCCGGCATAGTTTCCAGCCAGGTCAGAGGTCCCAGTATTGGGTCAAAGGTGACATTATGTGTGCAGTTAACTAATACTTTAATGCAAACACGTGGAAAAGAAAGGGACTTTATTATGAGCCAAAAAAATTGGAGGTATACTTTACCGGTAATTGTTTGGGTGGATAGGTATTAAAAGGCATGTAAAGAGTCGTTTCTTTGAAATGATAAAGTAATGGAGAATCATTTGAGACGGTTAATACATTAGAACTCTTTCCTCTTTTTAGGTCAGGGATGTGTCACGTTAACACCAACCTGCAACAAGACATTTATCAGCTGAATTCATAAACATACAGAAAGCTGATGCTCTCACTCTGATGCAGGCACAACATAATTCCAGTTAAAATTTGAGCTGTTTATAGTACCTGATACGACAGGTTGGAGGGTGCTGATGACTTCTCTGTCAAGTGGGGGACGCACGGGCGCCAATGCGTTATCAAACGCCTTCTCTGAAAGTTTCCAAAAAATAATACAATATAAAGACGTAACGACCACTCAAACAGTAATAAATGTCTGTTATTAAGCACGGAGGTCTATGAGTGGATTTCCCATATGACCTTTTTATTTTCTTTGTCGATTCATTGCTTACAAGAAATAAGCAAGCAATTCTTTATCAGAAATGTTTTCAGAAATTCAGTTCTGGGTTCACAATTTTAACAGAAAATCTATCGATCAGACTATGTCTTCCTGGATGATATCACAGCGACAGCGCCTTCAATAATTGTCATGCAAAGCAAGTTTTATTCAAATGTTACAAAAGTGCCCTTTCGAATGTATTTAGGGATGTAAAATAGTTTTCACACATTGATGAAGAGTAAAAAGTTGCAGAATAATTGTGTCTAAAAATATTCGTTACAACTACCCTTTAATGTCACACATTTGGGCGGGTGGAAGCTTTGAGCATGTACAGATGAAGAAAAAAATAAGTACTGAAACTTACAGTGATTTACTTTGTGGTTTATTTCATTTTGAAATGAAACAAGTGCACCTCAGCATTAATCTTAAGTCGCTACTGCTTCCGATATCTTGGTCTTTACGTGTCTGTGCATTACCCCTAAAAATTAGCAATCCAATCCCTGAATTTCAGCCAAAAACTTCTCCCACGTTACAACCTCGTACCTCGTACAGACACGTAGAATGAGCAGGTGTGACTGATGTTTTTACTTCCGCTTCGATCCAAGACCACATACTCCACTAACGTGTCCCAACCGACTTTTTGGACTCGCCAGTTGTAAGTCACATTAAATTGATCCCCGCTCTGACAGGGCCATGGAGTGGCGTTTCCCCCCACCTGCTGGCATGTGGTGTATTCCACAGACTTCTCCGGTTGGTTTTTAACAACTGGCTTGCTCCAAGAAACGTTTGCTGATGAATCACCCCTGGGAACGAGGACTGATATTACATAAAGTCCGCTATAGTCCAGTCTGGCTTCTGGCGGTGGGCATGTACGTCTGAACACATCTGTAGAAAAAGAGAGACAGACAGACAGAGGAAACACCAAGTTGATCATTGTGCCTTCAATTCTTTCAGAGGTGTAGGATACTGTAGTGCTAAAACAAAATTCTCCCAAGTTGAAGATGCAGGAAGTTGGCTTTTGCTCTCACAAAATCTCATAAATTTGGCAGACTGTGGGACTTTACAAAGCTTCCATGTAAAAGAAGCCTACGGCAGTATGGCGAGTCTTAAAATTCAGTCCGAAATTCAGGAAGGTGATGTCCAGAAATTAGGCATGAAATCTGATAGGAGGTCACGTAAGAAAATTATACGATGTAAATTTGAAAGTGAAAGAAGATACACATACCACAGCTATTTGTTTTTCCATTTATACCCTCATCTTTGTGATGAGCTAACATTTCACGGGCTTTAGAAACAAAGAAAAAGGAAATAGACCACAATTTGCCATCCCTCTCGATGTTTTTCGCTGCTCGCACGGGGTTTTTAGGGGGAGGGGAGCAACACTATAAGATTACGGTGAAAATACAAGTCAATAAACATCCTGTGAATCACAGGCTGGCCTGTATTATTATTTAATGCGACAGAAATGCTTTTGAAATTAAATTTGGGAGTCCGTGATACTTATGACAACGACATTAACAATGTATCCTTAGGTAAAATACAAAAAAATGTTGTACATTGCTAGCTGGCTACAGTGACATAAATACACAATTTGAAAAAAGTTAGAGGACTTGACATATCCATGCTTGAAGAATCTTACCCAAATACTGACAAAATCCATGCGAAAGATTATGTAAGGAGTTTTTTTAATGTATCTGTTTTGTATCCTGTAGTTTTCAGTTGACACCATGCAAACTAATGTTTTTAGTTGTGTGAGCGCCGGGAAGAAATTACCTTTGCAGACAACGCCAACTCTTTTTGATCCACAAAATTGTGCGTAGGTTTTCCAGCCATGAAATTGGCAATGAGCGAGCTTCGACTCATTACCAACGCACCGAACGCTGTTCATGAAGACCGGCCCTGTTCCGGGCGGAAGTAAGGGCCGGTAAACAGATGCCTCAGCTCCATCAAAGCCCAGCTGATTGCATACAACACGTGCATCCTCTATGTTCCAATTACTAGAGCATACAGATCCCCACTGTCCGCTTACGTACACTTCCACACGTCCAATTTCATCCGAAGCACCATCCATCAGCCGAACCGGGAAATCTTCATCTGCATGTGAAAAAAGACTTCGAAAAATTGATCACCATCATCTCAAAGATTGTCAGGCAACACCTTTATAAGAAATAGCAATACCGGCGTTTTGTAATAGTGCACCTCCAAGAGTTTGCAACGTAGGCCAATCATAATGCGCGAAATCTGTCGACCCAATGCGCGTTTGGAAAGGGTCGACATATTATATACGCGCATTACGCATTTTGGCCTACGTTGCAAATTCTTGGAAGCGCACTATTGTGGATAGCCCGTATTGTATTGTACTAAACAAATAGTTCATGTTTATGAGTGCAATGGTATTAAGAACAATTTCATGAATTTACAGACTGGGTGTTCTGTTCCACGGGGAAGGGGACGTCGAGTGGAATAGAACACTCATCCTGTCACTAAATGTATTCTTTCCGTTGCATGAATAGAATCTACTCTAAATGCGACGCGCAAGAACTGTAACGTGTGAAAGTACCATACAAAGTGCTTTTAGCATTAGTATGGACATGTATTTTTGTCCTTGTTTTGTTTTGACCGTATTGTACTGCAAATGTCTTTTTATAAATGATTTGTTGTCAGTCTTCTTTGTCTGGTTCATTTTGTTAATAAGGTATTCTGAATATGCATATACCTCATATGAATATATTTCCCCCCTTTTATTTCAATGTCTTATGGTCTTATTAACTTTCACTCTGGAAGTCATAAATCTTCCATTTATTGACCTTGAATATAACTTGATGTATACATTGCAAAACGGAAATAAATGTTGAGTCAATCTTAATCAAGTTAGATGCAAAGAACCAGACTTTACAATACTTCAGTTTAATTTAAACGCTTCAGGCCCACAATCGGAGATTGGTTTCGTGGGCGAAGCCTGAGACGGAGTCGAAGATGAGTACCGGAAAACAGCCTAAGTGTGAAGGGACCAGCATGCGCACCTTGCTGTACACTGGTATGATTAATGGGATAACCAACGATCCTACAGTCTATCATTAGGCCTATACCGAATAATTCATAGCACGTGATCGGCGACCCATCAATCATATAACAGGGATTTATTCAGGCGTTGTATAAAAGTATTCAGGCTCAGGTGTTTTTGAGAGTCTTACCTGCTTGGCATATGGCCTCCGCATATATACTGCCGGCACAATGATAGTCACCCAAACGATGTCCTTTTTTCATCTCACAATCAATAAGCCTACTTTCATTGCCACGGCAAGAGGCAACATCTATATACACAGAGCCCTGGAAAGTGTCATGCGACACAATGCCAGCAGTGGCAATACTGGCTCCGTCAAATCCAAGTTGCCTGCACACGACGCTAGCATCAGCTGTCGCCCAAACGGCACCACAAACTGCACCCCATTGACCTCGGAACTGTAGTTCTACGCGCCCTGATCTCGCATTAGGCCCGCCCACCAAGCGAACTTGGAACGCTTCCTCTAAGACAATTTAAACAAACAAACATATCTGACTGATTACTCATTAGCTTGAGTGCGGTAATATAAAAAACGTTACAGGGTATGTGATATTTTTAGATTAAAGATTATTAGACACGTGTAAATATGGATTATGTCAGCGCCTTAAATAAATTTTGTGTAACTATTTGTTTTCAAAATATCGAATCCGGTCAGATATGAAAATGCTATACTGTATATGACTTGAATTTTCCATAAGGTGTGAAAAAACTGATACAGCTAAAACAAACATAAGAAATTTCATAAGTTGGAAAAGGTCTTGTCTCCGTCTCCTCTTGTATTGTCTCCGCTTCGCGGCTTCGCAGCTTTACTAGTCGCTGTAATGTGGGTTAATAAGCCATAATGGCCGGGGCAATAGGCTACACGCAATGAGAAAGTCATAGTAAAGAGATAGCAAACTTAACTCGCAGTTGCACAAAGTGGCCGTGTAATAGAATTGTTGGTACAAACGGTAAACAGCAGTGTATTCAGGTTATTCATGCCTTAGCCGTCCCCTCATTTCTACAGAGCAGCCACCATGCAGAGACACGCTTGCGGTTGGCTAATTGCGCCTACTAACTCACTTGACGTATAGTGGGTATGGTGTCAACAAACATGACTTCTTCCCATAGTAATGTGTGTTTTAAGTGTTGTTCACAAAAAAGAAAGCCGATTCCCCGTACAGCGTGTCAGTAGTCTGAGTTTCAAGTACCTTACCGACTTTTTTTTGTAAATGACACATATGACACACTTTGCTATGGCCTATGGAGGACATCCGTGTTTGTCGATGTTTGATACCCACTATAGGTCACGTGACTTTGGGCGCATGCGGTATATTAACACCTCAAAAGACAAAAGTATTGTGATAGCTAATCAAACTCTTGAGTAATCCTCACACATGTACACGAAGCGCTCATTTTAGGGGCACAATACAGCATTCTGTTTTCATGGAATTTCATTCATAATGTAATTTTGATTCAACAGTAGCTTTCTATAAAATTATTTCAGTAACTCAAGACACGCTTGACCATTCGACATATGAAATCTTCCAACTTTGCTAAGCTCACCAGAAACAACAGACAAGCATCCAGCATTGAGCATGCAGTGAGCAGATTACCTGTTTGGCATGTCACTCCAAGATGGCTTTGTTTTGGGTTGAAATCATTCCTGATAAAATCACGGTTACTAGTCGAGAAAGGACAGTCGATCAACCTGTCCTCATTGCCTTGGCAGTTGACTCTGTTCATACGTGTAGGGCCGCGTCCTTCACCAAAAATGTTCAGCACAGCTAAACTGGGTCCGCCAAATCCAAGTTGTCTGCACACGACACCTGAATCCGTCCGATCCCAACCATCGTCCTCCACATTCGCCCATCGCCCCCTGAATAAAATCTCGACACGCCCCTCTGTATTTGTCAGACCTCCAACCAGTCGAATTGGAAACTCGTCATCTGGTTTAGGTAATCAAAACATAAGGGAGTATAACACAATGATGAATGGAAAACGTTTTGAATATCAGAGCAAAAAATACAACGCCATTGTTTTTTCAAATGTTACAAGTATAGCCACGTAGCTGCGCATGCTCGCTGCCAGATAATCCAAGCAATCAATAACTGACGGTTCAATCTCGTGCGATTGAGAAATTAGGCCGTATATCTTTTGAAGGGCTAAATTGTACCAGATCACCCAAGTTACCCGAAATTGTAAATTCCTCTCCCGCATTACCGTGGGTCGGGTCACCTAGTGATACTTACCCCTGTCCAGACTACATATGCAAATTTCCCATGTACCTATTATAATTCGCTGAAAAGACTTGATTATGCATGCTGCCCCTTGACCCTCCACAATGCACTGCGGTCTCGCCGCCATGTTTGTCCTTCTTTTCGAAGTGACGAGATTCCCGGAGCCATAGTGGGAAAGGACAGGCCGAAGCGGCTGGACAGGGGTAAGTATCACTAGGAGACTCGACATCACACTAATGTGGGGGAGGAGTCTCCTGCGTTCACATACCCCTGTCCAGCCTACATATGCAGAGTGGCACCGTATCCTGGAAGAGGGTCGGCGACGGGACAGTAGTTACTAAAGAACATAGGTGGGCGTCGCCCAAGCGAACACTCACCAGAGAAAAGGGTATCTACAATGAAGAGTTCATTCGGTGTGGGACGGCGCTTGATGCTGTCCCAATGATCGAGCGAAACGTTGCTGCGCCGTGAGCAGTCTCGCTCCGCAGAACATCCTTCAGTTAGCACTTGGTGAAGGTGGAAGGGGATTTCCAGCAAGCCGCCTGGCACATATCCGCCAAGGAAACGCCTCTGAAATACGACCAGGATGCGGAGGCGGCACGAACGTCATGGGCTCTGATAAGAGGACGAGTCTTCTCGTCATGCAGAGTCGGCCAGTCTTGGTTCGCGAAGATAATGGTCGAGGTTGTCCACCGAGCAATAGTGTCTTTCACTGCTGGATGAAAGGGCGTTGTGGTAGTGATGAAAAGTCTGGAGCCAGGTTCACGACGATGCTTCGTCCTGGCGAGGTACCACTTAAGAGTACGAACTGGACAACATTTCTTGTCAGAGTCATCTCCCGAAAGAGAGGTTATAAGGGGGATAAATATGTCTGGAGGCCGGAAAGTAGGTGTCTGGTTCTTTGTCAGGGAGAGGGACCGAGGTAGAAATCAGGTCGCTCTTGGGGCGGTACCGAGACAGGTGATGTAGTTGAAGTGGCCGCATCTGCAGTCGACACCGTGGGACGAGGTCGACCATACTGGCCATTGGTCCGGGAAGACGGAGCCAGGCTAGCGCCGGAGGTGCCTCGGATCGCAAAAACTGAATGACACATTGTTGTAGGTTGAGGATGCGCTCCGGTGTCCGGCCCGCGATGCCTCTGTGAAGGTCAAGGATCGCCCCAAGGTAGGTCAGCCGCTGTGCTGGGTCGAGGGCCGACTTGTCGTGGTTGACGAGGAACCCCCGGCGAGTTGTGACATCGAGGGTGAGAGAGGTGCAGGCTCTGGCCTCGTCGGGGGAGTGACCGACGATCAGCAAGTTGTCCAGGTATTGAAAAATGAGGACGTCGTGCCGTCGTAAGTAGGGGGCAACAGTCTTTGCGATCCTGGTAAAGACCGTGGGTAAGGTTGAGAGGCCGAAGGGAAGGGCCCGAAACTGTTAGGTTTGGCTGCAGCTCTTGAAGCGTAGGAACTTGCGAAACTGTGCGTGTATTGGGATTTAGAGATACGCGTCCCTCAGATCTATGGAGTTGGCCCAGCACGGGACTGGTAGGGAGCGCAGAACCACGCTCAGTGTTTCCATTCGAAATTGCCTTGGCTTCATGAACTTGTTGAGCGGTTTAAGATTGATTATCGGTCGCCATTTTCCCGGTTCTTTCTTGCGTGTCAGGAAAAAGGACGAATGGAAACCGGTGGATAATTGGTTTGGATATACCGGTGTTATGGCTCGTTTGGGTAATAGTGTTGAGATCTCCTCCTCCAGAGCTAGGCGCTTGGATTTGTCGTATGGGGGAGGAGTGGAACGGAAGACCATCCCTGACGACGGGGGACTCGTGAACTCGAGGGAATTTTCGTAGGCAACGGTGGAGAGGACCCAGCTGTCCGAGGTGATTTCCCGCCAGAACCCGATGAAGTTGCCTGGGCGGCCGCCGACGGGTTCGGGATCGGCGGCCGCCGAAGATGAATGGAAGTAGTCACCGGCGCCGTCCTCCGGAGGGACTGGGGGCACGGCGCGAGAATCCACGACTGGCGAGGCGTGGCAGGGGTCTTCTGGAGGCGGTTGTGGGCGGGGATAACCGGGGCCCGACGGCCGAGTAGCTGCACGGAGCGGAGGATTAAAAGAGCGGCCTGTAGACGGGAGGGGATCCAGCCGTCGTCTCGGTGGCGGTGGGGGCTGTCACTTACAGGAATCGGACAAGATCTTGTCTCTGGCAGCGTCAGGGTTATCTGGGAATGACAAGAAGAATGACAAGAAGCGAGAGACATCCTCTTGAGAAAAACGGTAGTTGGACGGGGCCCGGGAGGAGCAGTGCGCAAGCGTCTAACCTTTGCGAGGGCGTTCACCATCTCCACGCTGGAACCGTCTAAAGGAATCTACGGGAAGACGGGTTAAGCGATTCAAGGCATGAAGGGTGGCATTTGAACGAAGAGTGTCCCTGCTCAGACGGCGTAGGTTCTGGCGACGGGAATCCAAGGACGTGGATCATGTCGCGCTATAGAAGGCGCAGGTGACCTTCCGGCTGGGTCAGACCAGCCACATAGTCGATGTCATCATCTTCGGAGGAGACAGGCTGAAGGCTGGCGGGAGGAGGAGCCGACCCGTGTTCCGAGCGGAACGAGTCACCATGAGGCGGAGGTGGTCCCGACGCCGCGACTGATTGAGGGGATGGTTCTGGTTGAAGAATAGAAGTCGCCTCGGTCTCCGAGAGGGCCCCATGTGAGGGAGAACGGACGGACGGCCGGAAGGGACTCCAGGTCTTGTGTCGTCGCAGCTGGCTGAGGTTTAGAGTCAATCTGGCGGGCGAGAGGGTGACAGCCTCTGTGAGATCTGAAGGGTCGCCATCCATGGGGGAGGATCCGAATCAGAGTGGCGTCTCTTCTTCGCCATGGATGAAGAAGAGGCCGAGGAAGATGACTTAGCCTTGCGCATCTTAGTTTTTGCCGGTGCGGGGGGAACTGGAGGCCGGAACAGTTGGAGGAAAGACCGGGCGGGGATCCCCCGAGTGGTCGGTCATCTCGTGGGAGGAGCGCCCCAAGTCAGGATCGACGGCCTCATGACCAGAACCCATCGGCCTGCTAGAGCTGCGGATGAGGTGTGGCGGACGGAAGCCCCAACGGCGAAGCAGTCAGGGAGGGCGCCGTAATCCAAGGCAACGGGAGGCTGGGCAGCATGCTGGCTAGCTGACTCACCCGTGGCAAAGGCAGTTGAGCGCGGCGAACCCGATGTAGAACCCGTCGCCCGCTTAGAGGGAGTTGACTGGCCCTACCTCTGAGCTGGTGCTGCTCGGCGAATGGGAGCCGGTGAGGGGCCCGGGGCAGACGGCGGACCGTCGCCCCGCGGGCCCTGCTGATCCATCGGTCAGTAGAGTCGTCCGGGATGCGGTTGGTGGCAATGCCCGGGACCTGCAGCACATAGAAAGAGGAACGGTTCAATACTCCCAAACAATCATGATCAAGGGCATTGTTGCAGCATAGCTTGCTCAACCCGATCTGTTGGCGTAAGGTGGGCGCTGATGACCACAGGTAGAGTACGAATTCAGCACGCAAGTCCGGTGGGTAGGTGGGTGGGGTAGTCATCAGTGATCAAGGGCATTGTTATGACACCGCTCTCTCAGCCCGATCAATCCTGGTAGTGGTCAGCGATCTGGGCATTTTGTGGTACCTCACGGTCAGCCTGATAGGAAGATAAAGGTCCGGGGTCTGTTGCGGCAGAGCACGCTCACCCCCGGCCTATTCATTTTTACTGGGTCTCTCCTCGTCAAGGCCGCTAATTAGATAACGCAAAACCGCACCACAAAGGAGCGGGCAGCCCACCAAGACCTGCTCCGCGGCCAGACCCGTATAGCGTTGGGCCGTTATTATTCGAACGCGCGCACCGCATAGAGAACAAAGGGCTTCCCAGCCCTGTTCAACGGCCATACCCAACACAACGTATCACAGTAGGTCACACCCAAACCTGTATACGATGCACAGAAAAAGAGGGTCAGAAAAGAACCACAAAGAAAAACACAGCATGCAAAAACAAAAATATCTTACTAAGAGATAAGAAATCACTCTTTATTTCGTAACAGGAATCAAGTCAATTCACAAACGCGAAAGGTACGGAACTCGAAACTCATAGAAACACGTCCGTAAACGATAGGCGCTGAGAGAAGAAAAACGAACATGGCGGTGAGACTGCAGAGCATTGTGGAGGGTCAAAGGGCAGCATGCGTAATCAAGTATTTTCAGCGAATTATAATAGGCACATGGGAAGTATGCATATGTACGCTGGACAGGGGTACGTGAACGCAGGAGACAAATACATGGAATCTAAGTGCGTCACGTGCAATTCGCCCTGAACACGCTGCCATTCATCGTTTCGCCCACTGCTTGCTTACGCGTTTTAAAATCACGGGTATACGCACATGACTGGTGGTCTTTGTGGTTATACGTCTGTGGTCTGCAGAGACATCTAAACGCATAGACCGTCAGGTCCTATTCAGAGCCACAGGGGTTTTTCGTGATCTGCGCGGCGCCCGACTAAAAACTATGGTCAGATTCACCCCTCGGTACAGGGAAATTACGCACAGTCGAAGAATTTCAGCCCTAAAATTCTATGAAGCTAGTTTTAAATTGTAAAAAAAGTCCTCTGTTTACTTAATCTGTCCCATAGAGATTCAAAACAATGCGATTGCAGCATTTGAAAAGAAGATATCGCAGTATCGAAAAGCAAAAAAGGTGAACGTATATTGAAGCACATGTAAACAAATGCAGGCGATGCAGTGCATTGCGCGTAATGCGTGCTGAACGCGCTGCCATCTATTCTTCGCCCATCATGTTTGCCCATACTTTTCCAAATCACGGTTATACGTGCAAGACTGGCGGTCTATGCGTTTATATGTTTGTCGTGGTCTGTGCCTATCCTCGCTGAGTTGAAGTGAACCCTCCCCAGCGACAGAAAGACAGAAAGTACGAAGTTTTCCAACTGGGTTCTTGCATGCATTTGGGCGTGCACGCAGCGTGCCCCGCGTCAAACGCGCATAAACGTACGCGCCTATGCGGTGAGTTGGTACCCAACAATCTCGTTCCCATGGGTACGATCTTGCCGCGCCATGTTGGTTCGCACCATGCCTTGCGACATCTAGTGAAGGAACCCGCACGCAGCCCATGGAGTCGAGGTTGGGTACCAAAGGTCTGTCAATTTTAATTTAACGTCCGTACGCCCTCTTTTGTTCACGCTCGGAGCGGATTGGAATACCGGACTAGCTCACATTACCTGCCTGACAAATAACCCCTGCATGGTGTCGACAGTAAAGACCAAGTACTGGGATAGTACAGTCCAACAAGCTTTCCTCGTCACCCCTGCAATCCACGTTTTGTAAGAAATCCTTGGTATCACTTTTCTTGGGTAAGTTCAAGGGAAGAGAGGTCCCTTGGTAACCTAGCTGACGACACACAACGTTAGCTTCGTTGGTGCTCCATCCATTTCCACACGCAGCTCCCCATTCGCCGTTGATGAGGACTTCTACAAGGCCTGCTGTTGTATTCGATCCGTCATCAACGAGACGGATCTCAAAATCTAGGACAACAATAACACAGTAATCACAAGCCAGATGAAGTCGAAATTCAGTTCAATGACCCCCTGCGTGTTCCTATATGTGTCTATTTTTTCCTATAGGCGTAGTTCAGTCTTTGATGTGGTTCTAAACTGAATTACTGTATAACAATTTCTCATTTGTAATTCTTTCCTCTTTTTCCATTGTTCCTGTACCATCCAATAAAACACAGGGAAAAAATACGTTAGTCATCGATTGATTGTTGCATGTTATAGTGATATGTCAACATGACATCATTTCAAACCCATCTTTATCCGCGTAGACACGTTTTTATGTGAAATGGAGTAGTTCCAGAGAACTGGAGTAAAAAAAAACAATTAACTCTCAAAAATTAATAAGTTCCTTGAGAACGTCATACTTTTTGCACTTAAGCATTCTTTAGCACTCTTTAGCATTTGTCGTTTTATTTTTTACTATATCACTCTAAAGCTTGTATTACCGTGATCTTGTTCTTGGCGTCATCACAATAATATAAAAACTTTCCAAACAATATGCAAAATTATTATCTTAGGCTAACAAAAAAGGATTGGGAAAATACTTTTTGTGTAGGTTTAAATGGAGAATTATGCAAAAAGGCATTTTTAAATAACGTTGTAAGTTGTCATTAAGTCAATTCATTTTTAATACACATTCTATCAATATTCATGAAAGCGGAATTTATGTTCGGACTAGTAGTTACCGGCTGGATTATGTAATATAAATATATGCCTATTTGACGTCATGATGTCGTACTGCATTGTAGACCATCTATATGGATCTTCTGGTTAACTGTATAAACTGGGGCTTAAAAATGTTTTCATCTTGAAAATCCTCTATCAAACTGTTCTGATATGTTGAGTGCATTGCCTTTTAAAGACATAGGTACTATGCGACGCCTAATTTCTAATATGGAAAAAATTGTATTATTAAAATGCATGACACCTTTATGTTTATATGCATCGTTTAATTGGCTGTTTGAGCTCTTCAACTCTAGAAGCCGGGACAGAATTTGCCTCCCCCCCGACAGTTTCTCCAATATCGTCGCAATGCATATTCCCACTCCGAGAGTTTTTCCTTTTTTGTCATTTTGGCCCACTTCTGTTAAAAATCGCACCAACACTTCGTGAGAAAACCCGGTTTTTTCCTTCGAAACGTCATCCAAAAATGTGTATCTTTCCACTTGCATACTCGATGCCAATAAACTTCAAACAACCGTAGAAAGCATAAATCAGTTGTAATTTCACAGATGCCCATTTATGGAGTGCCTTAGGTGAGCCATGCTTCAACAAGATCGGATGTGGAGTGGAGGTGGGATCCAACCCACTCAAGGTCCGAAAAAAAGACATGGCTTTACACTGATCCAGTAAGCGCCGCCCACTGCGCACATATATTAAGCTAATTCTCCAATGCCACACAGGCACGCGCATTATACGCGCGTGCACTCACGTCAGACATAAATCACAGTTGTGTTTGGTCAGAAAACACTGGGATGGGGCTTAATAGATCGTGGTATGGAACACCCTTTAGATTCTTCTTCATTTAAAATGTAAATACCTGGCTGACAGATGACGCCGACAGACCTCCCGTAGCATCTCCGGTTTGTCCAACCTCGAAAGGCACAGTCCGTCAGCCGTCTTTCAGTCCCGTTGCAAAGAATACCCATCATACTACCATCAACATCCGGTCCATTCCCTATAGCAAAAACGCTTTCAGTCGTTAGCAGTCCACGACCCCGATAACCGAGTTGAGAACACACTACACTGGGAAATGACTTGCTCCAGATCTGCTCGCGGCACACGGATTTCCAATGGCCGTTGAAGAACACCTGCACCAGTCCAGAATTATTTGACTGGCCCCCAAGAAGTCGTACTCGATGGTCATCGTCTCAAAGAAATGAAAAACAAACAAACAAAACAAAATAGTTTAAATGCTGTGTTTGAAATGTCCGATTATGTTCATCACACTAAAAACAAATGTATAAATTGTATACCATACTTGGAATCGTACGCATGTTAGAAAATTGTGTAGGTAGATGATTTTATTAAGTGTGACACTAACATCACCTTTCAAAATTGATTTAAAGGATTCTTGGTGATCATTATAAACTAACTGAAAGTTTAAAACAACTTAAGACTCTCACCTGCCTGGCACACTATTCCGACTGGATTGAGGATTGTTGATCTGACGGGCGCGTTCGCCATCTGACAGTCAGCAAGTTTCGCCTCACTACCCTGGCATTTTACCTGATAGAGAAACTCGTTTTCCTGCCCTCTGGTGTGATATCCCGTGGATATGTTGTGCCCAAGAATACCCAGCTGTCTGCAAACAACGCTGGTTGCTGCATCATTCCAGTTTTTTATATCAACAATCCCCCACTGACCATCGAAATAAACCTCTAATCGTCCTTGTTTGTTCGACCATCCACCACGAAGTCGAACAGACAGATGTGCTTCATCATCTTTAAGAAAAATAAGCGTTCATAAAAAAGCGTGAAAACTCAGCGTTCGTTTACGAAAGGAAGCCTAAATTAATTGATGAGACACAAAGCATGATGATAATTAGAAAGCTTATGCTTTCTCTCACATAATGTGTAAAGTTTCTTTTGAAGTTAATGTTCTTATCGGTCCACTATATTTTGCGACAAAGCACTTCTGTGCATCAGTTTTAATGAAGTAGACATGTATTATTAAAATTATGTTCGGTAATTCTGTACCTATTTGACAAAGAATGACGACAAGAGTAAAAGTAAAACATCCATGCTTTCCCCAGCCGTTTTCAGCACAATCAGTCAATGTCCTCTCATCTCCGCTGCAATTCAAGGTTCCAAGATTTACCGCCGGGAGCGAGCGCACCGCTACCGGGTATGACATGCTGGTTCCGTTGTAGCCAAGTAGCCTGCAGATGACGATGGAACTCAACGCCTGCAGGCCGCTACCGCAAACTGCTCCCCATTCACCCCTGAAGGCTACCTGCAGTAATCCTTCTCGCCCATTCGTGTCCTCTCTTCCAACGAGTCGCACAGGGAAGTCTTCACCTTGAAACAAAATAAGTGAATAATTAACTGGAAGCCTGTGATAACAAAAATTGGAGGAAATGCAAAAAGTTTTAGGGCCTACAAATGTCCAGCATTCGCCCACACACAAAAGAAGTGTTGATGCGTATGGTCTTCTAGGTTTCTTTTCTTTTAATCATTACATTTACATTTAATGCCTATCATTACATCCTTACCAATCTGGCACAACACGCTGGCATCTAAGTTGTGGAAGCAGTCATTTCCCCAGCCTTGGAAAGCACAATCAGACAAATGTGTTTCGTTGCCTATGCACTGAACATTCTTCATCAACACGTGACCGCTTCCTTCGCCAAAGTATGCGTCTGTAACGGACGTGTTCGGACCGTAAAGGCCAAGTTGACGACACACCACGCTGGCATCACGCGGATCCCATTCGGAACTACAGATGGTTCCCCACTGGCCGTAGAAGAAGATTTCAACACGACCCTCTGTCTCCGTGTTACCACCAACCAATCGAACTGGGTAGTCATCGCCTGAAGATGTCGTTGGTATACAGAAGGATGTTGAGAAAGCGGTTGGAAAAACGTTAGAAATTGACCGGTCTACCAAGCCCCGCCCACTGTTTGAAATCATATAACCGTGCCAAACTGCGGTGGAGTGTGGACCAGTGGTTACAGGTTTGCGATTCATGATCAGATTGTAAGTGTCGGGGGTTCAAATTTGACTGCTATAGCCCGCTAGCACAGGTCGTGTTTAACGTAGCCAATCACAGTGCAAAGCCACCAGTCCTTCTCAGCTCTCTGTTTGGGCGCTGGGCGACGAGCATTATGCCACTATAGGTTGTCAGCCTAGAGTCAATTTTGTCTGGTAGCCAGGGCAAAACATATCCAGCGCACCAGGCAAAATCGACCGGTGTTGGACTATCGGTTACAGATTCAAGCTTTGCTCACTGCTCGCTTTGTAAAAAAAAGTTGGGTAGCTTGTGAGTGATGACGATATAGCAAAGTTAGAAGGGCGCCTCAGTTAGTTCTTGTTTTCTTTTTTTTTTTTACTTAAAGGGAGAGTCCTGAGGGAGGGAAAGGGGTTAAACCAATTACTTGTTTTCCCTTTTACACTTAAGGTTGTCGTTATCTCTGTGTTTCTCTTGGTAGGAAATTCCAGACAGGTAGCCGATATTGAAAAAGTTTTCTTCATTTGTCGGAGCCAAAAGTAAGGGTCGGCTAGAAATTAGAACCGATAAATTTAGCTATCGACGCCCTAATGGATCGGTCCATTCATGAAAGCAGAGCTGAGAAACAAACAGAAAGATTCAAGAATAATAAGTCGGGCATTTTAGGTTTCTTAGAGACGCAAAATGAACTCTTGCAACTCCACAAGGAGCCTGTTATTTTATCCAACGTAGAATATAAAAACAGAGCTCCTTATTTACAGGTGGAGACATTCATGGGGTGGAGATAGGAGTCCGTTCTTGTACGACCCAGCCCCTCTGAAGAACAGGTTTTCAATTGCGCTTAGTGTACTCTAGTCGTGAGTCTTCTTCTTCGTCGGCACTCTTACAATGAAGGGGATAAGCAGGTTTTCTGCCATGATCTTGTGGATCTTTTTAGCCCTTTTAAAACAGTTTCCCTATAGCGGTTACTTCCCATAAACTAATTTCGTGATATACAGTGTAAATTTTAGATATTTTTCTTATTGGTAGTTTGGAATCCGCTGCTTTCGTCCAAAAGGTATCATTTTTAATCAAAATCATCCTCAAAATACCTGCATTGACAGTGTGCAAGGCCCATTGAAATGAGAAAACGGCGCCAGTTATCAGAAGGAACTGCAGGCAACGACGGTGCCCTTGGCGCTTACGAACCTTTACCGACGTCTGAAACATCTCTTGGCTGAAACAGAAGTATTTACACAAAACGACACAATATGTCAACTTTGCTGTGATGGTAACAAAGATAATACACAAGGCGCACGGGCCATGTTTAGAAAGACGAGACTTATTCAACTAAGCAGTGAAATCTACCATTTATCAATATTATAAACTTCTATGACTGTCAACTGGTTTTAACAACATGCAAGATTAAATTTAAGGAGCAATTAAGTTTCAAGCGAAATCTGGAAATCAATGGAAATATTTCGCTGTCAGAACTTGGCAAGATATTTTCTCACCACCAACTGAGATTAAGATCATCAACCTTAGAAACTTCCATGACAGTCAGCTGGTTTTACTGACATGTAAGAGTGAAAGAAGCAACAGGTTTCAGGCGAAATCTGAAAATATTCTTATCAAGTTTAAGAGTAAGAATGTTTGGCTTACCAGAAGTTGACGAGATCTTTGCTCAACACCAACTGGCATTAAGACTGTGTATCAACAACACAAACTTAGTTTTACACATATACGAGACTAAACGAACCAGAAAGTTAAAGAAAAATTCTGACAATAGTCTTATTAGGCAATGAGAATGTATCGCTTACCAGAAGCTGACGAGATGTTTGCTGTACACCAACTGACATGAAGACAGTTTAGTGAGAGTAGGCTGCACCCGAGTCATTTAATAGCCGAGCACGGTTATTAGTTTTCAACGAACAAGACCTAAAATATTACAACATCAGCCCCTGTTTACATGCTTGCTTTCTTATGTGGGGATTCATGGATCGAACCTCACTTAATCTCACTGCCATAGGAAAGTACACAACAGAGCGTGACGTCAGTACCTTAAAGGACTGTTAATGAAGCCAGATTAAGAACAGGAGACACGCAAACCAAGGGGTTGGTTACCATGGTGATCCGGCTCATTTGCGTCAGTTCCCGTGGGGGGAGCCTGGTTTGGTTTGATCATCAAAGCTAAAAACGAAAGATTTTCATTAAGAGCCTTAATTTCAGATTCCCAACAAAATCAGTTTGCGGGTTCGTGTGAAAGTACAACCGTTCGTTGTCATTCTACTCGCTTATTCAATTTGGGCTGGAAGTCGTTGATTAAGCAACAGTAGTAAGAAATAATTGTTATTCCAGCGCCGAGTACTTTTTTCTGTTTACCATTTAGGGACAGTTTGTCGCAGGTAACCTACTGGACATTTGTAAACATGTATCTCCCGTCTGTTTGAAACTCTTGTTGTAACCGGGGAAGAAAAACCCCCTCGTCGGTTGAAAAGAACCGCTTTGGTCGAGAGTGTTCAATTTACTGGTAGCAATGCAACGCTGGCATTTCGTAGTCGTTCGTAAACCAGCAAAGTTCAGTTCTGACCAAAGGAGCCTCCGATTGGTTGTGTCCATGGTAGGTGAATGGCGCCCTCAGGAGAAGGAATGGAGACATGTTGTGCAATGTTGGAGATGAGTGAAATAATGTTGGGCAATCGTTCTGAGTATTCCCTAATTTGTAGTGTAGGCCTATTTACTGCGTTTGATGAACCTTGAACATAACACGTTGCTAACAAAATAGCCCCCTCTCTTGGTCCAGCTCACGGTCCATAGTCGAGAAAATTTGGAGTAAACGATTTACTGACAATTATTTATCTGTAATACAAAACTGCCGCAAACTGCTTGCTGATTACAGTGACCTAAAATACAAATCACAAATATTGAGGGCCTGAAGTTTCGATCCTATTCATTGGATCCGCAATGAAAGAAATATTGTAAAAATAGATTGTAATAGGCCGAAGGCATGGATGTTTTCACACAAACAGTTCTAGATCAGACTGAAATCCCTGTTACTGTCTCATTAAAATGGCCCAAGCAGAACCAAGTCAACAAGCATGATATTGCTCAAAAAGGGTTTCCCCTTCGTCGTAACAGTCATTGTATGAACTGCTACCATGAGTGAGACACAATATCGTCGAAATTTGAATAAATGAATGAATATAAATTCGTCTTTAAAACTTTGTTGTTGGATAATTTCGGACTAATTTCGGTGATTTTGTGATATAGCGCCCCCCAAATGTCTTGATGAAAAAACTTACCAACTTAAAAGTTACCACTTTCCAGCCACGTCTTATGAGGATTTTTTGGATCTTATTTGTATTGCTGTAAAACACAGTGATGTGCATGACAAGAAGTTGATCAGAGTTGACACTGCAGGAAAAGATACATGTAGGTGATGTGTTTTTAAAGTAGTGGGACGCCACAAGGAGGCACGGTCCCATTGTGAAACGGAACCAGCACCGGCACGGTACTCGCGCACAAAGACGGAGACAGACTCTGCAGGATATTTGTAGCCTTGATTTATTGGTGACCAGCAACTGTCACAGGCATCCTTACAACCTAGATCCTGGAGTGACAAAAACCCCCATTGCCTGAAATAACAAAACAATGAAAGCTTCCAATGATTAACCTGTATCTATACACACTGTACATTCATACACCCAGAGCAGGCCTTGAGCTGATCGATGTTCAGAGCTATGTCAGAGCTATATAGTGTTGACATGTTAATGCTCTCTGCAGTATTATGGTAGGAAAACGTCACCAGATCGAATCTAATTCCTGTTTGAATCAATGCATTGTGATCAAATTAATTGTCGGTAGGTTATTTTGTGCATCATGTCTGATTTCAGCAAATTTAGACGTAGTTTAATGTAAGAGACCGTGCCTTAGCAACTGTTTTAATTCTAATACATGAATATGCATATTGTGTAGCTGATCTTCATTGTATTTGGGTTATTTGCATGTTTGTATGTCAAGCAATTGTTACTTGGTGTCCTTTGTGCTTCCCGCGCAGAAGGACTGGTTGTGCTAGGTAGACTTCCACCAGGAAAATAAGTCCAAAGACTATTTTAGACAACTGACTGAATATATTGAAATTATTGTCATGTACAATAATAACCTCTTGTATTGTGTGATATTTTGGTGACGTGTACATTGAAGCTCACGTTACTTGTACTATAATTTACTTGGTAAGTAACTATTTGCGTATGAATACAAACAAAACAGAATAAGAGACGGTCAAAGACTCTGACTGGGTTGGCCGTGGAGTTCCAGTTTTAGAGGGACGCTGAGAGCATGGGTATTCATGTATTTTAATGTCAGTAGCACCCATTTCCACGTCTGTGTAGGCATAATCCATGGCGATTGTGTAGTACAGACTACACGGAAACCCACAGTGAGTACATGTACTTCTTGATTACGGTGATATTGATTGGTTAGGATGTTAATTAAGGATATTGCAGTTGACTATTAAGTATCCTGTGTAAGTAACGATTCATGTGTGTGCTATAGTCTGTGTACGTGCAGACAATGGACTCCCTATGGTTAAAAACCATTCGACTTTGCTTTTACCAACATACATTATGAATTCGTTACCACTTATACAAGTTGACACTCGGTGCTTTACCGTTTAGTAAATGCTTTTGCTGTGTGCTTGGACATCCCGGCATTCGCTGGGCCCATTGAACTGGACAGGACCAAAGGAAAATAGCTGGAGACTACATCGGATGTTAAAAGGTAAGTTCACAGAATAAATTGTAGATTTCAGACTATCATTTGCAGTGTTGAATAATAGAACATCGGAGCCTTTTAAGGTATGTACATCAAGTACGGTCATTTTGCTTAAAAACAACAGAAAAAAGAACATTCTTAGACATTGATCTGTGCCAGTATATTGGACACGATGAATAATGTCGGAACAAGAAGTGAATCTAGCATTTAAAACTAATGGAGGTAAACCGTACGTCAGTATACATGTGAGGTAGTGGCCCCTATTTTATGGGTGGTTTGGGTGATAATGTCTATATTTGAAGTCATTACATGATTTTGTTATGCTTCAATTCTTTCACATGGTCTGCTTTCATTGCAACCTTTTGAAAGTAGAGAAAAAGATGAGTAATAATAGGCTGTGGCGTGAACTTCACCCATTTGAATTTGCAGGGGGAGAAGAATTTTTCAAGGAGATCTGAAGAGACCAGAGGCATGGATAGTTGCATACAAAATGTCACAAACATTGTACTTGGATAAAATATCCGTTACTACCGCTTTAAAGTGGCCCAGAACCGTGTCAACATGCGACAAGCACGTATTGCTCAGAAGGGGATTCCCCATCTTGTAGCAATGGCGCACATTCATTGTGGGAAAGGCCTCAAAGTACATGTACAATGAACCAGGGAAGGTACACGTATGTTTCAGTGGGGGGGATATTGAACTGCGCATGTCTGATTTTGAGGTTAATTTCCACACTTGATGACACTATGGGTATTTTTGCTATTAGAGCAACTTGTTACATTTCATGAAATGTACGTTGCTTTGCACTTTTTGGAAATAACAATACCCGGCAAAAATTATTTCCATGGTAGGATTAGGCCCGTTTTATGAGAGAAAAATCGAAAAATAGTAACAGAAGTTGTCAAAACTAGTGGTTTTTGTGTAAAGCTCTTTTCGTGACCGGTAATTTGTTTACTTTTTGGCGCGTTTTCTGAAGACCTAAACAAAGCATTCTAAGTTTTCCTGAAATTTTCAAAAGTGGGCTGTGGTAGAATAAGGTGTGAGGTTTCGGATTTGTTGACAATTTTTCGCTAGATAAATATTACGTAATATCCATCAATAACATTGCAAGGAGTACATATTTTCAGTAAATATATAGGGCCTAGCCCCAGCTAGATGAAACTGATATGTTTGTGTTTAGTTCCTGATCTGTCGTGTGCATGTGCAGTATGGGTAACGCACACCACTACTAAGGGTAGAGTCCAACAATTCATGCCCCATTGAAAAGAATGAAAAATCAGAATGTGAAGGGATAAAAGCATGTATGCCAACATCCAGGGGGTTCTGATACAAAATTAAATCCTTACTCTTTAAATTTCATTACATTTTGGGGGGCTAACCAATTACATTTTTAATTATTGATACAAAACAAAATAAACCCCGAAAAGTGAATGTTCCGGAGTGTACATGTAGCCGTTTTTCAGATTGCATCCTACTTTCTCGGACACTTAGGACCATTTTTCAACCGTATTTCTTGTCCGTTCTTCCCTCAAGTGGACGCCCAAAGAACTAGGGAGTTAATCCTGGCAAAGATGTACACAATTTCACCATTTTGGGATCCAAACAATCTCCTTTTTCAAAAGAAACCGGGACACTTTTCTTGCTAATGAGCTGGGAAGACATTTTCTCATTAATAGACGGACTGCGCCCGCTAAGTCACGTGACCTAGAGTGGGTATCAAACATCAGCAAACACAGCGTCCTTCAATAGCAAAGTGTGTCGTAATCGTCATTTACCAAAAAAAAATCGGTGGTTGGTCAAATACTCAAATAACATTACAAGCATGTAGAAAATTGCACCTCAAAACCTTTAATCGGAAATTCACCAAGATCATTTAATGGCATTCTTATCAAACAGGATTGAGTTCTATGAGGAATGTTACTTTGCCACTCCCCAAAACTGAATTTGGCAGTAAAATTTCAATATGGGAGTGCCCAAGCTTGGAATCACCTAAAAATAACTGTCCAGACCATTACTGGCCATTTTAAGTTTTAACTAATTGGGTTTCTTGTGTGACTTTCAGGGAAGGACCATTACATTACATTACATTGATATAGGCCCATGTCTGAGGGATTGGGCGCTAGCAAGTAGAAAATGACTTCCAATGTGAATGTTAATGGTAATAATTATCTTTGGTTACTTTTATGTTACTTTTGAAAGCTAAATCAAAATATAAATTTGTGTGCTCTACCATCTGAAAATAATGTCCATTTCATACTAATTATAGAAGTTTTTAAGTTTACAAACTGGTTTTTGTTAATTATACTGTTAATTATAGCAGTTGTATCATTTATCTTGCTAAGACCCATGAGAGCTTATTCTGTTAACTTAAAAAGACTATTTGGATAACCTAGTGTACTCTCAAGAGATCTCAAGATATGATGAAATTGATAATCCAGAACATCATTGTGCACACAACAATTGTGGATTTATTTGTTTTTGCAACTCAACCCTTTATTACTTTGAAAACTTCATTAGTATGCACTAATTTGTAATAATAGTGTTTAAAGCATGTGAAGCATCTCACTGACGCATGCACAGTACTTGTATAACGGGTGGTGGTCGTCAAACATGTAACTTTGCCCTGGGGAAAATGGCCGATCCATGATGTCCTCTTGGTGGCGCACTATATTGTCACCCTGCCCTGTTGTTAACACCTTTTTTCTATACCAGGCGGTTTCGAGAGGAGAGACGGACATTCGGAATGGCGTCGGATACACGCACTTTGACACCAGGGAACTGTATGCTGCCCCTCCTCATTAACAAGAAAATCGACATCGACAAAACTGTGGTAGAGACGAAGCTGATAGATCTTCGTCATTTTCTCGAAGTAAAGACTGGGTATCCGGAAGAATTTGCGATCTTAAATGTGATAGGTCTCCTTAACCTCCGACTTCACCGCTATGAGGATGCTCTAAAGTGCTTCCACGAAGTCTTATCAAAAGATCCTGAGAACCTTAATGCCTTGGCCAACCTACAGTATGTCCTGGAGAAGCTCTTTAAGCTAGCTGAAGCACAAACCTACAAGGAGAGGTGGTGTGATCTTCTTCACTCAACTGAAAGTGAGACTGACTCTGCTGAGCCTGGAGCGATTGCGATAGCAGCGACGAAAAAGCAAAGATGCTCCCAAGCCCGGTGCTTAGCCGAGCAGGCTTATTCGCATACCTTTGATATTCACAGTGACAATGCCGCTGGGAAAAGAGCCATGCAGTCAATTGAACTATATCAGGAGGCTCTCACAATGGCTGGAGAAGATGTCGAGGAAACTGAGAGAAATGAGTGGAAGTTCTGTGTAGCGGTCAATGAACACAAACTTTTCACAAGCTCGCTTTACTTTAACCAGCCTGATTCAAATAAACCCGAAGTTCACCTTCAAAATGCGTTGAAGCTCTTTTCTGAACTCACTCAAGCTGGGCGCGGCAAAGATAAAGAAATCCTATGGGATAGCTGGTGTCATTTGGGCGATATTTTCAGGGTCATGAAACTGAGAAAAACATGTCAGTGTTATGTATCTCCAAATCTGACAGTGTATCGAAACGACCCCAAGAAGTGTATGACGAAAGCCCTGGAGATATCCCCCCACAATGCGAGGCTATTGGAACGCTATGGAAACTTTGTTTATTCCCTCTTTAAGGATAGAAAAGAGTCTCTAAAACTGCTGAACAACTCCATCGATGAAGATAACAGCGTCAACAACTGGAGAGCCTTTTCCACAAGGGCCATGGTAAACCTGAAGCACTACAAGTCACAGAAAACGCAAAATGCTCCCAGATTGAGGGGGATTCTTGAAAGCGCCTTGAGTGATCTAGAGAAAGCGGTCTCCATGAATGCCACGCCATGGAATCTGACACAACTTGGTGAGAGTCATTATCACCTGGCAAAACACCACACAGACGACGATGGCCAGGCACAGTCTCACTTTCTGAAAGCTCTCGTGTACTTGACGAAGTCTATCGATAGTCCAGACGGCCGTAACAGACCTGACGTCCATTTTTGGCGGGGCCGCTGTCTGTTTGACATCGGGGAAAAGAGGGCAGCAATTAGTTGCTTCAAACAAGCGATCGCGTGTGAGACTCCGCACTCCGAAAACCTGCGGAACTTCAACAAATTATTCAAAGTGTATTTGACCATGCTTCGAGACGAGGACCCCCTGGAAGACAATTCTATCCTTGCTGAAATAGCACATGCCGCAAAAGGGGCACTCGAAAAATATGATCGCCGTAACATGAGCACTTGGTGCATTAACAAGTTCAGGTCGGAGTACAAAAAAGAACTATTGTTGCTTCAGAGCTACTGTAGAAAATTTAGAGCGCTTGAAAAACTTGTTTCTCTGCTAGAAGAATCACCATGGCATTCATCGAGATTCAGCAGGAGGACACCAACAGTACCATTTGATTGTGGGCACAGGTCCTTCGGTGCCGCCGCTGGTACACATGTGCCGCGTGTAAAAATGAGGCCAGTGACAGAAGAAAAGGTGGACATAAAACCGCCGATACAGGCTGACTCAGATGAGGATGAAACAGTAGCACATATGGGTGGAGCAGTTGGAGGATCGTCACATGACATCCCGGAACCTGTCACGGAAGAAGAGGAGCAGCCAATCAAGAAAGCACCAAAGGAAGCTCGCGCATCTAATTTTACGTACGACTTCCTCGTGACCTATCCTAAGAACGAGAGAGACTGGGTGTCCTACGACCTCCTGCCTCAGTTGGAAGATGTCCATCACCTGAGAGGTTGCACAAGAGATAGGGATGCCCTTGCTGGAGAGATGAAGATCACGAGTGAGATCAATCTGATGAAGGAATGCGCTAGCATTTTGCTCATTATCAGTCGAGATTTTATCTCGGAGTGCGAGGGTCTTATGCACTACGCACTCCAGCTGAGAAAGGAAAGACAGTGTAGCCGTGTAGTCATCCCAGTTTGTCGGGACGAGACACCAGTACCGGATGAGATCGGCATGATCCTGAACACGTTTGATGCAACTGGCGCTGTGGACTGGGACAAACTGGCCTTTTGAATCGAACAGCAGATTTAGCCGTCAATTATTGTAGACAGGTAGGTCATTTTTGAACCATGTCTTCCACTCCATCTCCTTTTCCCTCGTCGTTGCGATTTTAGATGACTCATATAATATATGTTGGTTTCGAATTCTACCTTAAAAAAATAAGGTTGATTCTTATATCCACTCTGATTTTACTTTGAATCAAATGTAAGCAAAGCGATGTTTTGGCGGGAATCATTATATTATCACATTTCATTTTATTTTGCAGCTATTAAGAATTCGCTGGATGGGGAATAAACAAGTGGATTTTTATTGACTTGTATACATTTTCTCCTGAGAAATTTGAAAGTTTGGAATAACTTGTATGTTGTTTTCTTTTAATTATACACAGCTTGGAGACAAAAAGGTTGCCGTAGAAATATATCCTATACACCTCTATACATTTTGCCAGACTTGGTCGAGTAAGGTTTACCCAATTTCGAGTTATTTCGGTATGGGAAGTTTACATGCTGAAGAAATGGTCGGTGACCATCCACTAAAATTATTGAGGTCTTTGTAAGTTTCCAGGCCTTTCAAAAACATGAATCCATGGGTGAGAACCTTTAGTCTTTAACGACTGTATTCAAAGATCAAAATATTGATAAGATATTCGTTGACGCATAGTGCATACCAGAAAACAAGATCATTTAACTGAAAACAGTCAATGTGTTGTGTTCTGCGGGCCCAAAGTTTCAATGGAAACAGACAAAGTCCGCTGTTTGCACGCAGACATGCCTCAATTATTCTAAACAGTGTTGAAAGTGTATTCGATGTATTTAGAGTGCCATTTTCATAGCCACATTCATTTCCAAGCATTGCTCCTCGTGAAAGTGTTAAAAATCATGTTTTTAAACAGCCGTGTAGTTCATTTTAGAACGATGTATATCTTTCACCAGTCGTGCGCGATAAAGTGGTTTGACTGGACTCTATTCCAGATTTATTCAGGATCATCATATATCATGTAAATACCACAAGGCAGAGTAATTCTTAGCTTTCAGCATAGAGAATGTGTTAAAGAGCGCTGTATGCCAGTGGCGTATCCAGCTGGGGGCAGGCGGGTAACTTTTCCCTCTGACGGATTTTTCTTTTATAGGTGAGTTGTAAAGAAAGTAAACGATATATTCATTTATCGGATATCAACACCGAAACTCTAAGAAAACACCACCACCATTTGATTTTTCCCCCAACATCATGCTGAATGAGCCTAAAGCTACACTGGCTTTTGAATTTGCCCCCTAGCAACAAAAGCTGGAGTAAACTGGATACACCACTGCCGTATACACGTAAATCGCCGCACAGCTAAAAATTCACAGTCTGTCGAAATCGGGCACAAACCGAAATAGTTGTTGTTGTTGAGTGACTAATAAGTCTGCCCACTTAAACGCTTGAGAACAACGCGTTTTTATGAATGATTCAGCACTGCCTGTAACTATGCCAACTTTAAATGGAGTGCTTTACAAAGAAAATGTTCAACGCTTAATTTTAGACTTTTGAAATTTAAACAAAGGATGACGTTACATTTTACATTTATACACGTATTCCTTTGCAAAAATCTGCAGCACTTCGCCGCTACTGATAAAGAATAATAATCATCCACAAAGTTTTAAAATTGAATACTTGTTTATTACTATGGTAAGAAGAAGTTTTTGGATTCAAAGAAAATGTTATGCCCTCTGTATACTAATAGAATTGGAAAACTTCTAAACAGTTATATTTTCTTCAGTTAGACAATGGTCAAGCGAGTAGATAATTCCTCGTCTTAACTCCAGCATAGCTATTTTAGCTCAGAAAATAAGCTAGTAGTCTGTGCTAAATAAATTACTCATTTGATCAATTGAAGTTGGAATTTCTCCATGGTTAGAATCGTGTTTCTTTAAAAAAAAGACTGTTGGACGGTAGAACTTTGTACGTAAATACTAAGTACCATAACTATGAATATTTTAAGAATGTTTATGGTTATTCGATTGTTCAATATCGATAGAATTCCACGACTGTGATTTACTTTAATTTCATCTTTGGAAAATCAGATTATCCAATAGAATATTGTAACCATTATAGCCTCCTCTTTTATCAATGATTTTGAGTATAAATACCATTTAGTGTCATTTGGTGGCAAGTGCTGACAAATGCTAAATCTCGTTTCAGATTAAATAAATCTAACAAACTGAAATATAAGAAATGGAACGGAAATCTGAATATTAACGATGATTGCATTGGTTAGAAGCAACCGAAGTAATCAAGGATGAAATCTCGAGGATACAGATCCACCTCTACCTCAGCATACAGGTCATCGTAGCGATAGTAATCCTTTCCAGACATGAAGTAGGTCAAAACTGCATGAATAGGAAAAACAAATTGTCAGATTTTTCATTTCCACTCTTATAGACTGTAAGAATATTTATTGAAAGAGGCCATTTATAGTCCTTGTGCCAAGTGGTTTATCAGCCCTAATTAAGTGTTTTGCTTTCGAAAAACAAAGTGCACCCCCCCCTAAGAAAAAACTTGCCAACACCCATGTGTAAGGCAAAGGTTCATGGTACTCTTTTACACAAAAATGCTAAATGAAGAAACGCTAAGGATTAACAAAACCTTGGCTCGACAGTTCAGCTCACTCCGTGTCCCAATTCACCAAGAAAACTCACATTGTTCTTCGTCATGCCAAGCAGCAGTGACTTTGTTGGGGAGTCCCACCCAGACATCTTGGATGGGGTAGGGCCAACCGCTGTCCACTGTCTGTGTAACCTCATCGAAGCGCCACACTAGTTCATCTTTGAAGAAATAAGTCTTGTCGTAGACGGCCCAAGACACCGCAGCGTCCAAGTCACTGGGCAGAGACGGATCCAGGTCAGTGATTGGGTTGGGTCCACTTTCCAACATCAGCCCATCATAAACGTAGTAAGAAGGTCCTTGAGTGAGTAAGAGAAAGAAGAACGGGTTAAATAATCTAGACGATGGTAAAAGATATGAGCATGTAGAGAGTGAAAACCGTGGTCCATTTCTTTGATTTGTCTGATGGAAATAAGTCTGCCCAAATTTTTAACAATTTGGACAGTCTCGGGCCTCAGGGTTGTGGAAATATTTTGTGGAATGGTACGTTTGGCTAGAACATTTTTTCAGGCAGGGGTTTTGTTATCGTACCTTTGAACACAAAGAGCTTGTAGCTAACTGGTGACTCGTAGATGGCGTCTATAGACCCTGGGAAATTTTGAAAGAAATAACTGGTGGTACTTCCCCCTCCTTGTGACAAGATTTGGTAATCGCGGATACGGCCGTATTTGTCGCCCTGAATATGAAAATGGAAATAGATGGGGTTAAAAATTCTAAAATCAAAAGAGGCAAAACGGCTGAGACAAGGCTACGTTTCAGTTGGTGCTATACCACGTCTGTAAAATTAGCAGGACATGATGATTGAGGAATTCGTTTCAAGTCGTTTCATAGAATTAGATAAAATAAACGAATGAATCATGTCGAGTTTTGGTGGAGGTTGCAAAACAATCGTAAAATAAATGTGGGAATACTAAGGTAAACAAACACCTCCAAATAATGAAAACTCACCGTGAAAGCAAAGAATTCCCCTCTCCAGATGGTAGTGGCCTCGATGAGTGGACTGCAAGGGTCTTCTGGTGTGACGGTGGGGATGGTGCCTGTAGGGTTGGGGTTGGGGCCTGAGGTTGTTTTCTTTGTCGTAGGGGGAGCCACGGTCGTGGTAGGTGGATTGGTTGGCGGTGATAGATCAGGGTTGGGGTAAGGATTAGGGTAGGGCCGTGGATTGGGGTTGGAACCTGAAAGGGAAATGGAAAACAAAGTCAAATTGTATCTGCAATACTACATCTTTGAATTTAAAATGGGGTTTAGTTGATTCATAATTCTTTGCATGTGATCAAAGTGAAAAAGACTAATATTTAATGTTATTCCAACATTTCTTTGAATTCAGACAGACGTAGCTATTACATTTTAGGTCCAAGACCTGCACTAACCGTAGAGCGACTGGATGCCAGCGACGTCATCATAAGGCAGGTAGAATATTGGCTGGTAACCGGGATAAAAGGGCGCCATCAATGCAGTTGGGTCACTGGAGTGACTCAGGCCGAGAGAGTGGCCGATCTCGTGAGCAGCAACTTGGAATAAATTGGTACCTGATCGATACAAAACAAGGGAAATGTTTAATCAGAACCGCTCGTATACCTTTACGTGTCAATGAGATAAGGTTTGCGGTAGCACCATGGACAAGTGAAATCTACTCTGGGTTCGGAGCACGGGGTTCTGTAGAGGCTCCTGGTTTCTGACAGTGCGCTCGATGAGCCTCGATTCATCGTCGGTGGTCTGAAGAGATACCAGCTCAGAGAGGGCTTATACAGAAGTGCATAAGATGTAGTGAAGCATAAAGAGGATGATAACCGCAAATTTTCGTCACATTGCTGTGTCAACTTTGCATAATTGCATACTATTTTTTTCAAATCATATATTTGCACGAAATATTATTTTTTTCGATGACAACTAGATAGAGCAAGCTGATAAGAAATTTACCCGGTTTAGATTAGCCTAAATTAATTTTTTGGGGGGGTTACATACCGTCGTAGCTTGCATAAGTGAACAACTCATCGTCATCGAAATGCACATCGCCCTCCAGATCGCCTGAGTTGGTCTTGGGCAAGAACGCATGCGCCAACACCCCGTTCCGACCGTCGAAGGGGTAGTCGTCGCCATGGTAACCGGTGCCAAACTTTATGTAGAAGTCGGCATACTCCGGCACGATCCGACCCACTTCGTGGAAGGTCAGGGGTGTGACGTCACTCCAAACCCGGAAGGCTCTTAGGATAGCTTCTCTCGCATCAGCCTCTGGCATGTTTCTGGGGTAGTTCAGAATCCTGAAAAATGCAAATAAAATGAAATGTTCTCAGATTACTAAACTACTGTTTGTTACGGTTTCCCCCAGACAAGTCCTGGTCGAATTGATTCCGAATATCCCCATAACCTACATAGCTTCGACAAATAGTCCCAAGTTTATTGCTTGACATTATGCAACGTTTTTTAATCCAAGAATTGTTACAGAATATAAAGTGATAATTCACACACAATCATCGACCTTAATCTCACTCAGAGAAAAGGTCCGAGCATTAGTGAGCTATAATCCATCTGGTCCATCATTATATCCCTGTCAGTTGCAAACAAGTGGTGAGATTATAGGAGGGTACAATAACATCAAGATTGTCGGTGCCATATCTTTTCATTTTACATAAGGTACAAATATTATGTAATTATGCTTGAATCTTTGACAGTGTGCAATACCAATTCCAAGTTCTGTACACCTTGGATTTTTACAAAGTGGCAAAAGTATGATGTCTGACTTTTACCTGAATGTGATCTCCGTTTGGTCCCACCTCTGACCGAAGTGTTGGTAGGACAGTGGTCCGACGTTTGTGCTGTTCTCCTCAACTAACACTTCGCTCGGCTGGACATCGCGCACTCCACACCGTGGCTTCTTCATCATCATCATAGTCATCTCGTCGAGCTCCCCAGTCTGGTGAAGTCCCATGAATTTCTGCATCATCTTGATGCTCTTCTTTATTTGCTTCTCGGAGACGGAGCCTGTGTTCCAATCGTCTTCGTCCATATCGCCAAGGTAACCAAACTTTGACATGTATCCCTGCACAAACAGAGTTAGTCAGAAACAAGTGAAAAGTTTGCATTACTGTTTTTGTTTGTTTGTTGGGTGTTTGTTTGTTTTTTGTTTGTTTGTTTGTTTTTTCCTTTCTGTCCTTTTTTAAGGATTCTCCTCTTTCTCTTTGATGAAGGAAACATGCTGATTTTCCACTAAAATTTCGGAATGTTCAATTAATGTTTCAGGGGTTTAAACTGTTCTTACAGGTTGCAAATTTCACTCTTACAGGAAATTTTAGTTTGTTTCCATAACAAGCGGTTCATTTCATTTCGTGTATTATTTTTCGGCACTACAAAGAGAAATACGAACAAGCCTCTCGAGTACAGAACACATACCATGGCTTCCTTCATATGGTTCTTCTTTTCGTTCGCAACATTGCCTTCGAATCCAAGAGGACCTTTCCGTGGGCGTTTGGCATGGCCAGGTTTATAGCGAGGCCTGATGGACCAAATGCCTCGATCATTGGGCCGTTTACTACTGTGATTACGTCCCCCGTCTCCTTCCCCGTCATTAGCATTACCATCTGCTGGACTCATCTCATCACCGGAACCGTCGCCTTCTTGAGAATGTTCTGGTCTCTCTCCGTGGCCTTCACCGTGTCTTCCTGATCCCCGACGCCGGTGACCATCGCCACGGTCCCAACCCTGCTGACCGTGTCGGCCGCGCTTCTTCTTCAGGGGCTTACTGAGCACATCGCTCGGTGCTAGGCAACAAACTAGCAGGGCGATGGCGAACAACGCGTACAACGACAACACTCTCATCTTGTTTTTCTGTGTTAAATTCTATTGAGAAATTTCTCTGACTTTGCCAGCAATGATGACTGCTCTCCAACAAGTTGATCTGCTTTTATTGACGCTCGGTCGGAACTGAACATCCTGGCAGCAAGTCTGACCTAGAACAATAGGTTGTGCCAAGGATACGTTCTAGGTACATGTATCCTATTCGCCATGAGCTGATTTCACGGAAATTTCGGGTCAGGGGTCTCTGTTGAGTCCATTTCTTGGTGGGTTACTCGATGACGCATCTGACCACACAGTGAATCAGAAAATGACATCAGTGTATTTAGTTACATATACCGTCGTCAACTGCAAAGTCTGAAGTGTATATTCAGAGTCTGAAGTCCTTGAGTGACAGGAAAAGGGAAACCCAGCGGCAAGTCGTGTATTGTGCGTGCTCTTAAACATTAATTTTTAATGAGGTTGGCATTTTGGCAGCTGCTTGTAAGCGAACAGTTGAAAATCTCAATTAATGACAATCCAGAATGCAGCCTTTTCTGGTGTTATGGTCAAATGACTTTACAAAATTATACGAAATGTACAAATACAGATTGACAAAATAAATTTTACAGTCTATTGATGTAATTCGTAAATTAAAAAAACCTTAAAAACATCTTCGTGCCCCGTTTAACGCCATTTAATTTTTCTGGCATTTTATAGGCAACATTTTGAAAATGTTAAAGCTTTGGTTCTCAGGCAAATTTGAATACTCAAAAGTATGATGTCATTTTGAAAGAAACATGTACAAGTGTACAGTTATATCAGCACCAGAATTTCCCAGGATGTTGGATATTTTATTCTCTTTACAATTCTTTTCCTCTGTGATGTTTTGTTTCAGTTTATGACAGTAGCCCAGTAAACAAAGCTTTTTCTCCAATACATTTGCAGTGAACGAATTTAGGATTCACAATTTCAGCAGAAAACCCCTTGTGTAATGAACAGTGGCTTCCGGGAATGACGTCACATCAATAGCGCCCTCATTTGTCAGAAAAGGCATGGACAAGTTTAATTCTTTTTAATGTGTAATTATCAGTACACTATTGGCTGATAACAATATGTCAAATAGTTTTCATACAATAAAAGATGTATAGGGTTGCTCACAAGTTGGATAGAACACGGACCCTCTACTCGTGGAATCATCACATGGACCCCTAACCTTTCGCAAACAGATCGATATCCCTCTCTGAAAAATCTGAAAAGTCACTGGTTGTTATAACACCCCCCCCCCGGATACATCCAAAACCAAGATGTCTAGGACAATTGGGAAGTGTTGGCCTTGGCGGCATTAACAAAGCTTGGCGCCAACAATCCTTACTATGTGTACTGCAATGTGTGGGGATTGCATTTCAGTATGTATCAGGCCAATCTACGTCATTTTGAAAATTGACATCTGATAGTAGTTTATCATATACTGTAAAATATTACGTAATGGAACAGTTGTGTTTCTGTTGAAAATGGCATTAAAATACAGTAGATAATACTATTTTTGAGTACTCTGTAAATAAGCAAATCTGTTCCACTCGCCGCACATTTTTTCTGCTCTTCTCCGTTCGGTTACAGACAGATCACCGTTAAATCAAAGTTCTGTCCTGGAACAAAAAAACGTAATGTTATAAGCAAGCTGTCTGTGCCTCTTCTATTAATACACAGTACACTGTCAAAAATTATGTTGTGCTACAATGGGTTTTCTGTCCAATGTATCAGTAATTAACGGATAATTTTGGAACAGGCGGCACTTTTTGACTGTGCTGTGATTTTTTGTGTTACAACAGAACCCCGCAAAAACTGTATAAACTGTACAATTTTCCTCTGTAACATGCATTAACATAAATTTGCGTACTGGTTTTGGTGCACAAAAAAAAGTTCACAAAGCTGGTTTCGCCATTTTTCTCGTGTTTCCTGTTAGTGCGAGTAACGGGTAATTTTTCATTGACAAAGAATTTTATGTTAAGTCATCTTGAGCGCCAAAATGTAAAAACTGCTGAAACAAATATCTTTATAACCTGCCAACCTGCCAATTGTGACTAAATTCGAAAGAAAAGTCGATGCTTATACCAGCAAGCTGCGTTCCATTATAGATTAAACTAGCAGCAACTGTGATCATACTGCGTCTATCAGGTGAGGAAATGTCGGAACACATTAAAAAATAAACATCCACATATTGCTGCACGCAAAATTCAACATTTGCTAATGAGAAACCTCTACATACTTTTTTTTATCAAAAATATGTCTTCAACTGACAAACACATGTTTTATTTACCCGGAAACCGCACGTTTTACAATAGTAGTACAACAGTAGAATTTCCTGATACAGAGAAAAAAATGACAGTAGAACGTGCTGTCCCAAAACAGCATCCTCTGTAATGTCAATTGACAATTGAATGTACTGTTATTTAACAGATATTTTGAACGGTGATTCAAATATTTTAATAAACGAGGAGAAAGTGACAATGGGAGAAAATCAACCGAACAGGTGACTATAGGTGCGCCACATGGAGTGAAAAGGAATGGTTAATAAGAATAGACCCCCCCCACCACCACCACCAACCCCACCACCACACTACATCTTCATCCAGACTCACCACTCTAGAGAACAAAGGTTTCTGTTTATTTCTCGCAAAATTTATATTTGAAAATAAATTTGCAGGGGAACACCAACTGCGAAGTTTTCAATTTATTAGTTTAATTTGAAGGTTGTGTTATTTTGATCATAAATTCGATTTAAACAGGCTTTGTTATCTGCAAAAAGGACAAATAAATTCATACAACTTTGTCAATGACTGCCTGTATACGAAACTGATGTCCAAATTTTCTTTATATGATGTTAAATCACGGTTAATCACTTCTTTAAAAATATGTATTCCATAAGTGTTGTAGTTTGCAATCACTCGTTTTGTGGTTTATGGTTAGTTGACGTGGCATTAACGAACTAATCCACAACTCCGATCTTCTTTCCATGCCCTTGGAAAATCAACACGACTCAAGCAGGTTGATTTGGCGCAGAGTCACTTTTCCTTTTAGTGATTTTCAAAGCTCCAGAGCTCGAAACCACAGCCAAGTCCTATCCTGAAACCCGCGTGTCGCAGTTCCAATGCTCTGACCTTTCTTAATTAATTAGATTACACTTCATGGTGACAGCTGTAAGAAAATAGCATGGAGAGTAACCTTAAATGGTCATGAGGAACCTTTGCTTGGGTCGTGTGTATCTTGTTCAAGAAACGAAACTGCCAAACATCCGCTTAGCAACCCAATATCCTTCAACACTTCCATCAATGACGTAATTACTGCTTAGGACTGACATCATCATGACAAGTTGCGCACGTTCTAGAGTTTTGATTTGTCGGAGACACGAGCTAATTTAAATGAACCTGCGGTGCAGACCACATGGTCTGGATATTCTTTCTTTAATCCTAATATGGAGAACACAATAAACAGCACCAACTTGTTTGTACTTTGAGAACAGTTTTTCGAGGGAATTGCAGGTTAAGATGGAAAGTGGATTTTAAAATATTATTCCTGTGTTCTTTTAAACATTTTTCTTGCATTTGTAATTTCTTATATTATTCAAAAAGGTGACGTGCACTTCGTGTCAAGAAAACGGCGTCCGGGTTGGTTTGTTTGGGTTTTTTTCTCTCTCTCATTTTTTTCTAATAGCTGGCTGTAATTTATTGTGCACAGGCTGAAAGTGCTCTAGTTTGGAAATTTTGCCAAATCGGGCTCTAGACCGAATTGTTGGGACGCAAACGTATTTCCAGGGGTGTTGGGTGGGCCAAATTTGATCAGATGTTTCATGTAACCTTTTACGGCCTTTCAGAAGGGTGGGGCTACTCTTTGGTGATTTTTAAATTCCTTCTTTGATGAAAGGGAAATGAAATATAAATAGTTCCCATTATTTTTTCAAAAACTTTTGACTCCATTTCTAGCTGGGGATCATATATGGATCCCATTGGCTCTTCCAGATCCAACATGGACTTTAACAGAGCCAGAATAGATAACAAAAATTAATGAAGATGTCTTTTTAAATAAGACGCAAAACGAAATCGTAATTATGATATATGATTATATAGTCGGAGTGTCAAGTTTCAACTTTCTAGTGGCTTCAGTAGATTGTGGTATCATAAATTCTGGTGGAAGACAAGTGTCCTAAGTTTGTTTGGATGTCGTTTATAGGACTCGTTCAGTTTTGACAGATGGGATTTCGTATGTACAAAATCAGGTCCGTCTCATAGGATCTTTCATCGATACAAACAATCGGCAATCACAAGGCTAGAAGGTGACCGTCCGTCCAGTTCCTTGTTTCAAAGTAAAGGGCCCAAGGTCTCCTGCATTTGTTGACTCGTTTCAAAGGTGAACGACTCTTTGGGGAGTTCAGAGGTTAGGCCTCCGGCCAGCTACTGTACTTAACACATTACACTCCCTGGCATATCACATTATTTCAATTCAATTCTTTATGGTCCAGAAAAAATGGAAAATCCTCTTGTTTGCTTAACATACACATTCATAACATAATTAACATAGGCCTAATATAATATAACATCACAGTAATTAGGCGTACTAAGTAAACCCAAATGCTTTATTTAATTAATTTGGGACAATTATTGAGTGTTTAGCCGTTATATATTTTAAAAACAGGAGTTTGTCAAGATTCTGTTCAAGTTTGGAAAGAGGATTGATAGCATTTTAAAAGTTTACTTTTAATAAAAGCATTACAATGTGTGATGCGTCCTAGGGTTAAAATGACCGTCACGATTAACTTTGTTTCTACAGTTCACTGATCGGCGTGGCGTTTCCCAAATCTCATTAGAGCATAATATGAATTAAGGGGGTGATTTTCATCGTTTGAAATTCCTCACCTTTTTTAAAAACGATGCCAGTACACAATTGGCCAAGATCCGTCTCCACTCCAGAGTCATCTTTCCAGCCTGCCGTGTCCTAGCACCCTTTGCAAATTCTTAAAGTTCCGCAACTAACCAGACTACACAACTACAGTTTTCATTCAAATCTCTATGACTTATACAGAGAAAAGTCTTAGAATCGTCCACATGGAATGAGCTCATTTTCCTAAAAAAGATACTAGTCTCTGTTGAGCCTTTGAAAGGATAGACTTGTCTTGACTTTCTTCCTATGATAGTTTCAAAGGATATTCAACAACGTGATAGAAACTGTTTTGCCACAAGCCGTTTTTAGATATAAACTACCTGCCGAACATCCAAGAATTATTTCTCTCAACTTCATTGCAATGTAGATAGAATTAAATAAATGAAAATGTGAATTTTATATTGTATTAATTCAAGAGTGCAGCAGGCTGCCAGGCGGATATGCCGGGGCTAGCGCTGTTGAATCCCACTGTGAACAAGTCGGAGATAAGCGCAATACTCCACGGTCCCAACTCATGCGTGCGGGCTCCGAGACAGAGCCAGCCTGCGAATGATGGCGACCCTGTTGGCCGTAACCATGCGACGTTATACACTTACTCAGTAATATTTCTGGCAATTAAAAAGGGTTAATGGCGATAGATTGTTGGTGCTTGAGCAGTCGAGTTCTTTTTACTTGGGGCTTAGATTTTTTTCAGGACCTCGTCTCAAACGCAGGACAAGGGTCAATTTGGGCAAGAGCCAAGGGAAACAAACAACCGATCATTGTTTAATATTGATAATGAATCACATTTCCTAGGAAGGTTGGTCCCATCCTTATATGGTTGTCATATCAACAATGACCGTTGATCGTTACGTGATATTATTATGACTGTTTCACACAATAGAATAACAAACAAAAGTTCGACAGTTCAAGTACAGCGGAAGCCGCAGATTCCACCACCAATGTGTCTAGGGATGATCAATGCAATAACAATATCAAACCTGAACACAGCAGACAACAAAAAATCACGCCAAGCAAACTTTTGCTGTCCCTCTTCATTTAAAAATATTCACAGTACACTCGTTTAAAAATCATATAAAAGAATGAAGTTCTACACACGGTGGAATGCACAAAGTGCCCTGACAAAATTCATTATCGACGTTTTCATCGACATGGGTCTGTCTAGAAGACTGAAGATGAAAAGATTATTTGAAAATAGTGTCAATTAAGATCTGTATGTTATCTAGAGGCAAAGCCTATATCCTACTGAAGCAAACACATAAAACTGCGTCTGGAGTTTTGCAGGTGTATCGGGATCAAGATGCAGACCACTGCACGTCGACGTATCTGATAACAAAACTTGGAATGAACGTTGAACGTTTGTAGGGCAACTTAATATCCCAAAAGTAACTCTCTAGAACCATATGGGCAAATCGCCATTAAAGGACTCTTTTCAAGTTATAAAAAAGCAAATTTAAAAGGCACCTGGAATCTAGTTGCGATTGATAGCTCTGTTTTCACGTAGATGTGCCCAGCGCCACTGGCCCCCGCCGTTCCAAGTTTAGTGTCCCCCCCCCTAACCCGGATTCTCGGTTCATGACCTCCACGACTTAAGTTCGCAGAACCATGGGGGAACTAATATCTTGAGCAAAACACCCGTGACATATGGACTTTGGACTTGCCGCTGTCAGCTGCATATAATGTTTACACACTTCAGTAAAGGCTTACTGAGAAATGACTGTGAAGAGACGAGGTGACAGGTTCTAACCTTCCATTGTTTAGACGGAGATTTGACCCTCTTACTTTCTGGAAATTAAGTCTGCTTTAATGTAATGTGATGTTCTAATGTGAATTTGTTTCACAAACACAATCTGCAAAGCATATTAATGTGCGGTTTTTAAGCCCAAAAATTCCGGCAGTGAACCGCATCCGTAAAATCCTGGGGGAAATAATTCACGTGCGAATTAAGGTGGACCATAGCGCAGTTGTCAATACACGAGACCATAATAAGCAGTGAAAGCGAAATCACTGAGTCATTAAAAGTGGGCAATGAAAACAGCAGAAAAAAGGAACGCCAAGTTGTAGATTCAACATCACTGATTTCCTCTTCAGTCGTAGACGTAGTAGAAGTAAGCAGTGCAATGGATGATTTAACATGAATTGACTATTTATGTGCGTATATACGTTTTCAAAAATTGTGCTCTTGTATGTCATATTGTCATTAAACGTACAAAATATATATTTAGGGTTGAATATATGACGCCCCTGCCACCAACCTTGAGCCATCCTGTCTTCAAGTTCATGAATGTTATTAGTTATTACCAATTTTGATATAGTTATCAATACGGAAAATTGGTTACCATGAAATCCATAATACAGGTTCAGAAGCTATACGCCAATAACAAATTCTGCTAAATTTCCCAAAACTACAACCCTGATGGGTTTGTTTTTTTCAAAACAAAAACCATGAACGAAATTTCGTTCAAGAATATACCGTGTACACAGGCTGTTTATACATATGCAAAAAAGGGTAATTTTTTCTCCAGTTATTTCTATTCTTGGAAAACTCATTAGAATAGAAGGATATGAAGGTAACTATGGCTAATTAATATTTTGTGTTCATAATGTATATTCAGCCTCAACAACTAAGATAGGACAGTTTCCGTCACCTATGTAGAAACTTAATTTATCTCACCATAATATAATTCTATCGTATGTGTTGAAGAGATTATATTTACTAAGTTGTAGGACGATTTCTGAGAACCACTACTACTCAGAAGAAAGATGACAAATTCTTGGGACAAACTTAAAGGGGGTTGGCTTAATTATGTATGGGGTGTTTTTGACCTTTACTGACGTATACAGGATGTCTTTAGAAACGGAAACTGAGATAAATTAATTTGTTTCTTGAATTTGACCACTTATTTTTATCAAATGGTACATATAATCTGCTTCAGTATGATGTCTTCTTTTTTATGACACCAAGTTATTCACGTTTCCGTCACAGATGATAACAAAATGGTTTAACGGACCGAGTCAGAAATGGCTTTGCACCAAATGGCTGTTTTGCTTTTCAATTCGTACTGTCCAAAGATGGCTTTTTTGTCAAAGAAATTAGTAATGTTTGTCAAATATATCAAAATGCATAAGACCTATTTAAATGCAAAGAGAACAAGTGCAGAAGTTGCGTTGAAAGAAAGGAGGGGCATGTTAAAGGGCACTCAGGCAAGGCTCCGGCAAGAATAAGCCCCTATTCCGTGGTTATCCTTGTCTTCATGATTGCGGTAGTGTACTTAACGCTTCACGCTGTGCAAACCTGTGATGCGTCCGGTGCAAAGCCAGTTCTGACAAGGTAAATTAAACTACCAATAGTCGTGTGTGACGGAAACGTGGATTTCTTGGTGTCATAAGAAAGAAGATATCATACCGAAACAGATTATACCCTTCCATATACAAAAGTAATTAGTCACATTCAAGAAACATATTAATTAATCTCAGTTTCTTTTTTAAGACACCCTGTACGGTGGAAAGACAATACATGCACATTCAGCATTCTCCAAAGGCTTGTGAGAAAACTGACGGGAATACTCGGCTCGGAATCAGAGACCTCGTGCTCTCTAGCACAAACGTCTTACCACTCCAGCACCAAGCTCGCCCGAGATTGGCTGGTCAGTTCAAGTCAGAAGTGCAGCGGATATGGGCTCCGAGCTGGATAAAGAGAGGGCGCACTTTTCCTAGCAACGGAGGCACCTCTGGCACCAACTGCGCATCGCTGGTTCACGAACGACTATGAATCGCAAGCGTGGCAGTCGTATAGGCTGAGTTCGGGCGGCTTGTTCTTGTATGCTCGGGAACAGCTCGATTTCTTGTTCGTGGGTCGGCCGCTCGAACGCCAGGAACAAACCAGTTAATGTTAGTTAGTGGCAAGCAACATGCAAGATGGCGGCGTCCATGTACGTTATTCGAGAGTTAATGTTTGGATGGGAGGAATTCTTTCTATTTAATTAGGAATACTCATTCTCGTGTTATGGAAAATAATTAATGTTAATTTTGCAAAACTTCCCATTGTCTCTGGATTCGGAAGCCATCTCTCTACTTTTGCAGCTGTTCAAAAATCAAAATCTCATGAGTGTTTCCGTGTGTTCCTGTAAAACCCTGACAAGGAGGTGGTGTGTGATCCTGTTCCGAGAACAGTGTTCTTGGGTTGTGGAAATCCGTGTCAAGAACAGGCCTAGGCCGCCCGAACTCGACCTGTGGCTCTTTTCAAGCTGCTTGGGCACAGGGTGGACACTGAACCAAAGGGTTTTTAAATGAAGATGTAATGTTTGACAAAAAATGGGAGGACAAAGTATTACAGTCGAGTCGTTGGACTTTTCCACAAAATGCTTAAGCAAGCTTCTGATTTCTTCCAGAAGCTTTTGGACAACTCTGATGTACGCCATGGAAGAGCAAAATAACCCAACACAGACATTTCCCAGAAGCAGGGATTTGCTTAATGAATTCCTTTGCTCATCTTGAAAGAGGTGGGTTATGAATATTCACAATGAAGTTCAGTTCTTGTCCATTACACCGAGCTCTCTGTAATTAGAAATAGATAAAATGATGGAACTAACAAAGAGACACTGTTTACCAGAATGCCGTTAAATAAATACGGTGAACTAACACATGTTCTCATGGCATATATCCCGGGGGTGGGGGTTATATATCCCCCACTTTTTGAGGTGAGCAAACAATTAAAGCAGATTGTGACGAATTTTTCAGACTTCCAACAAGTAAAATGCATTCACTCCCAGTGCAAACAAGGCCAAAAATTCAAACAATCATGAATATGTCCTTCTGAATACATACTACAGATGTACATCAATATCATGAACATCGACTTCTATATAGAATCATATGGTGTTACCCCTCCCCACCCACATTTTTCAAATTTTCATGGCCGGATGGCCACGCCCCACACACACACTCTCCCCACCCCACCCCCAATTTCCGGCACAATTTACGCCTCTGCACTGCATATTCTACAAGGAAAGCAACTTAATTATAACAATGACAACTTGAGAAGCCGTCTCATTACTTCGTCATTGGCCTTTAAATACGGTTTTAATATTATGGGATTTGCGTATGAAAGAGTAGGTCACAAACGTCTGATGAATAATATGCCCCCCGAATGGTGGGCGGGCATATCATAGTACCCAGTAGAGGGAATAAAGTACCGAAATGAATATGTCACGCACACAATTAATGTGTAAAGGGCATTAGCTCGAGAATTAGCGCGTGAACCAACACGCGTGCGTACTCCATTCGTTTGCACTGCACTCTCTGGTTTTACAGTGACGTCACACTTTGGTATAGTGTTTCCTCGCATGGAATGCTTTCACACTTGTAAATTATTCTTTCGGTTTTATACTCATGGTTGGCAAAAACTGGGATTCTGACGAAGCAAAAGAAAGGTCCATACTAATAATTTCCCTTTCTCTAATGTCAGAGTAACAGACCTACTTGTATTTTCAGAAAGTTCCTGCCGTCGTGCACAAAAGCGTGTAAGTATAACAGCTCCCACAGCTCGTAGTGTTCTTTTTAGGTTTGACAAACTTTTCAATGTGGTTGTGGCCACACACGCGACAGCCGAGTTTGTGCTCATTCGGAGGAAACTTATGCGCGCATGGTACGCGCACGTGGGTGCGTATCCACAACGGGGACTATCTTAGTAGATGTTGACTTTTCTCCTCTTGGTTAGAAATTAACGAGTGCCAACACTTGAACATCTCCAAGATTACTTTACGGATGAAAAACTTGAAAGATAGTTCTAGGAAAATTCCCTAGACCCCCTCCCCGGTCTCAAAACCTACAGACTACTGGTTTTCTTCCGAAAAAAAATGAACTCTTAGGAATAACTTACCACATCTCGCACCACTAAATCCAGACATGCATTGGCATTCGCAGTTAAGAATACTTAGAGTTCCACCGTTGAAGCAAAACAAACCGCAACCTGCGATATTAGAAAAAAATGAATGTAAAAGTGCAAACAATTAATCAAATTAATGTTTTGATATGAGGAAGTACTGAATAATTTAAGTTGTGCAGTTTCTCTCCTAATGTTTAATCAATGATCAACCACAATAATTAGGTTTAACAATGGTTTAGCAAGGTCTTTCGACGGGGAAGGGTGGTGTAAAAGGAGTGCTCGGCGTCCAGATGCCTACAGTGAAAGATAGACAAGGATTCTCAGGTCAGCCGAGCGCGAGTCAACGCCGTCTTTTAATGGTGGCGCTGTTCGGAGTGGACAATACTGAACATTAGGCGGCGCTCTTCATATTTCTGACATTCCCCGTAATAGTGAAGGCACTGTGTAGAAATACGCTTATAAAAAGGGCACGTAGGGGAAGAGGCACTTGGTGCAAAGTAATGAGTTGGTAAACTACCGCATCCTCACCCCACAGTCTGCATTACGTTACTTTAAAGTGTTTTATACTGCTCTAAACTAACCTACAGGTATTACTGTAAACAAGCATTTCACTGTTGTCGCTAGCTCTCATAATCGTCCTTACAGAAGGGCAACCCTTTTCTGGCTCTGATCTTTGTTTCCCTTTTTTTGTTGTCTATCATCAAAGTAGATCGGGCAAAATACCTACTCTCAGTTATCACAAGGCTGTCTGGAACCAGGTTCAATGAAGCGAAAGGTGTAGCTGGTTCGATGACACGCTGGTACAGGAAGTTATAAACATTGTTTCTGAAGAGAGAGTTAAATTCTGTTCCAGACTGGAAGTGCAGTGAAAACAGTACTCTTGTCCTCACAGAAGACGCACCTGACCTAATAAGACAATTAAAATTTAAATTCATGCATTAGAAAACAACAGTCACAAACAACGACAAAAAATATACATTGAAATTGGGTTCCAATATACTGTGAAAAATGGAAAAGCTTGCGTGGTGTTTAGATTAATACTAAGGACTTCACAAAGTATAGTGAACATCAATGAATTTACACTGAAACAGTTTGAATTAACCACTTCCAATAAGAACTCGAGCGAGATCTTGATAAGTTGCAATGACCAAATTCCACTATTTTTGTCTGATCTCTCTAGTTTCAATAGAAGGGTGTTAATTAATGTTCAATCAAATGGACAGCAATCTGCAGTCTTTGGAATGAAGAGAGTAAACTTAAGTGTTGATATTGGTGGCAAAATGCTTTCTTGTGACAGTATTCCTTTTTGTTGACGAGATGAAAATATGTAGCAGGTTCAAAGAACATACATGTATTTGAGAGTTCATTACAATACTTAAACATTTTTGAGTGGTTCCAACATTTAATTTAATACCTCTGGTTGCAGTAACCTGAAAGGCCCACATTCGCCAACAAAACTTATCATCGAGGATTTGTCTTCAAAAAATAACTTCCAAAGGTGTTACTTACGTGAGATCAGTGACTTCTGTTTCTCGAAAATCGCTGGAATATGTGGAGTTATTTTGAAAAATGCCGTTCATCTATAAGTTAATGCAAAAAGTAGTTTAACGAATTAGTGCAGTAACGTAATCTTTCGCTCGCGTTACAAACAAGAGAAAATACTTGTTTAAATATAGTAATCATACATTCCGACATAAAATTAGTCTTTTCCTACAAACACTGAACAAAGTTAAACTGAACAAACAATGAACAAAAATAAACTCAACAAAGTTAAACTTAACTGGCTTTGGACGCACTTACTATGGTGTTAAAGCTGTTAACGAGGTTGGCGTATTGGGTTGAAGTGACGTCATCATAGGCAGCGATAAATGTGGAATTGAGTTCGACTGTTCCTGTCAGAGCTGAATTGGGACGGGAAAACATCCTATAGCGTTTAAATATTCAGGGTAGGAGTGTCCCAATACCTACCCAATTTTCTTTCTTTCCCCTCTCCCCATTTCTTGGGGTACCACCTTCCCCCGTCCCTGGCGACACGGTTGCTTCTTAAAGGCATTATTCCTATGGATGTTGTGACTGAAGTCACAGGAGGTATGTTTCCACGAAACGGTGGAATTTTACTGGCCCAGAGACGGACGATATTTCTGCAGCTGTCAGCATCCGGTAAATGTTGGTGTCCTTTGGCTTCTGTTTGCCACTGGACAAAAAAATTGGTCTGAAGATTTTTACCCTCCTAATATCAAGACATCTTTAGAGCCATAAAAACTGTCGGTTCTATGTTTTAGTGATTTGTTTCTTTTGAGTTCCAGTACAAAAATTTAGAGGACCTTCAAGTCTTTGACCGTCTTGATGACCCTGTTTTAAGTTACTTTGATAAGCGTCATAACTCACGACGCAAGTGAGTTTGCGATCAAGCTCCCTGTTTTAAATTAAGTTGCTTGCAGTGTTTATATGCATATCGATATATATTTTTAAAAATTCAACTTACTTGCCCTTGAAGTGGCTGCAAAAACAGAAAGAGAAAAGGCGTACTTAAAATGAATTCCACTGATTGATAAAAGTGTTGAAACAATTTTTACAAGCGATAGAGGGATTTGAAAATGTTTGGCATTTCAAATTGGCTCTTATTACATTTTCTAGAGGCAATCACGTTGCTATAACAGATCAAGAAACACACACCGAGAAATCTTTACACCAATAACAGGTGCAGATCAGGGAGGTTTCGGGTAACATCCTAGTCTGTTTTGGGGGATACTTCGCCTGAACATTGGAAGACATCATGAATTTTATGGTGTGCTTTTAAAGCATAAACTATGTAGGGGTCTCATTTAGCATGTAGAGATAAGGACGACCCCCCCCCCTTAAATCTTAGATCCACCCCTGAATACCTACCTCCTGTGAGTGCAATGGGGAGGACAATTGCCAAGGCAACGACGATGATTACCACAATTGCCAAGCCACCGAAGATAATGAATGATCTCATAAATGCCTGTGCAGGATTCATAGGAGGTTCGACGCCAGTATCACTTACGTTATCTTCGTCATCATCCAAAGGCGTACGCATGGGCACATTGGACTGAAAAGCAGATGAAATTGGGGGTTAGGTTATTATGTGTAACATTTTAAAGGGTTTTAAATCTAATTTGAAAGTCACAAAATGTTTGTCGCACCCGACAATTCTACTCTTATAATACTGTCATGGGGTGCGTCACAGAGCAGCCAAGTGATCAAACGATACGAAGGAAAGTTGAGATAGCGTTGTAGAGAGAAAAATTGTTGCAAATAGAGGCAAGTCAAGAAAGTGCTTTGAAAGAAAGGCCTGACGTATTTTTGTGTGTCCATTGTTTCCGAAAGTTGGGATGTATACTGACAATTTTATCATTGCATGACCTTTTGACCCAACAGGGCACCGCGAGGAAACCCGAAACCCTTCGTTTGAACCTGCGACGAGATAAGAGTAAGGTGATAACCAAACCCTCAGTTTGTTACCACTCAATTTAAAAAAAAAATACATATATACTCACTGTGTCAATGTCTGCAGGTTTTCCAAAGCTGGTGTTATAATAAACAGCCTGGGTTCCAAATGGCAGCTTAGAATCAACGTATGTAACATCGTCCGTTTTACGACCGACAGTTGAGGGTGCCCGGGCAGGGCCGCGAATAGGTGGCCTTTCGCGGCCACCGTCGGGGTAGAATTTACTTCTCCCGTCCTGCGATATGACTAACGATCCGATTGGCGCAGTACGTCCCACGTTACCCTGTCGAAAATAAAGCCGGAAAAGGCAGACCTGTTTGATGTTGGGGAAGGTAATGCTGAGGTGTAACCAACACCGATACAACTGAAAATCTCTAATTTATTAATGACACGCAGAAAAAGGATAACATCGAAAATCTGGATGATTCTCCTGCTATGTTCTCTTGACTTCCTTTGTCTTTTTTTCTAAGTTAATGCAATTTTCCAAAGAGCTCCAAATTTGACTTAAAGTCATAAGAGGCAGTATCCTGTCGGAGGAATTCTTCAGAACTGAAACCATGAGTATCCTATAAAGTTTAAGCAAGTGAAACAAAAAAGGAACAGGCATTTCATGCCACTTTAGAAAGGGGACGTTTCTCATTTTTATCAGATGAGAGCCCTCAAGGCTTTGCCTAAACACGATCTGATGTTCTACTGTCACCCCAGTTTCTCATTTTTAATGCCACAGGATTCTCGTATTTGTCTACAATTCCTATCAAAATGTTTTCTAAACTAGCCAAAAAGGTCAAAGAGGCAGAGGGTTCTTGCCCAAGAAGATCGGTATCTTAAATTAAACAAAGTGGGCCCCTACTTTAAACAAAGGAACAGTCATTCAGCTCGTTCATTCGCGCAAAATGAGGCTCTTGATTGGCCAAGGGTGACTGTCATGAGAGAATACAAGTAAATGGACCTCAGTAGAAGGCAATCATGTAGAGATTAACTCCAACCCCAACAAGGACTGCAACTTGATATTTTTTCACTTTTTCATCATGGACCCGATGTTTTTGTGCACAAACATTCGAATTTTCACTGCCAACCGGCGTTTTTGTTTTAACAACCTTTGCAACGTTTCCGCGTCGAGCTCGGCCCGACGAGGATACTGATCTTCGCCCGTCTCTCCTTCCATCTCTCTGGTGAGGAAAAAAGACACGTAAAAATGAACAAAATCAGCACAAATTGGAATGTGAGCTTATCTATACTCAGATTGATCCTCGTCATGATTAGTGACATAGACAACCTGCCAGTCCTCAAAATAACTGCTAATGCCTCATTTCTTGGACACTGAATGAATGTTGTTTGCAAAGAATAATACGTGCAATCATGGTGTAAGCTTTTGTTTCAACATGACTAGTGTTGCAAGAAGACTGATGCGCGCAATTGTAGTTAAATTCACACTGCTTAGCTGTAGGCTGTGACCTTGAACACGGTCCTTCTACGACCGACATTGGAGGTAATTTTCACTGGTTGACCACGCTAGCTCTGTTTGTTTCGGTCTTGACCAGGTTTTGTCTGCTTGTCCGTGGGACCAGGTTTGATGTTTCACGGGGAACCATTTAAAAAAATACGTCAAGCGTACCACCTGCTTTCACATCGTGGCCTCGGACCTCGTGCCGGATAATTCCTAACAGTAAGTTATATACAGCACACGTTATTGTCCATTGACACAGTTACCTTCATAAAGAAAAACCTGTAGGTTAAGCAGACACTCTAGTTGACAAAAGAGCTCTGTTCGGCTCTTTTTCCCTCTTTAATTTAAGTTGGAAGGGTTTGCACTTGGTCTGCATAATCAGCTAGTGCCCTCATGCAATGGTAACACTTAATAAAAGCCAGCCCCCGTGTTACGTGCATTTACAAGACCAGACCGTACGGAACACAAAATGATAGGAGATACATGTAGAACAGTGCAATACTATTAAAATCAAAGGGTCAATATTCGACTGGAAAATAATCACTAATAGTATCTTCTTCATCAAAGGCACCCCTACTGTACTCCAATCTCCGCCTATAAACTTTGAACGTCAAGATTTCCTGTTAAAGTACATGTACACGTGTTTCTGTCTTGTTTTCAATGAAAAAAAGGACCCACATAAAAAAGCCCAGTAATCACGTTCATAAAACAGTTTCTTTTTCTTCACTTTTTTTCACATTTATCCAGAAAATGAACCACTTCGGCCAACTCTCACGTTTTCCAATCCAAAACCCCGGGATTACAGCTATCAACCCAGTTTAATGCACATCATTAGAATGCCCATATTGGCTTGCTTGTTAATACTGAAGTACGTACGCCTACGTAGGTTCACATGTGCAAATTGTACTTACAGAATTCATGTTTTGCACAAAACCGTGACGTCAAGGAAAGTTCTCAGTGAACCTCGGAAGCAACAAGTAATTCCTAACTTCAGGATGTTCCAGCTACGTACAGTGATATTCCGTCTCTCCCCCAAAGCGGTGATGGTACGTTTCCACTAGGCGTGTCGACCACACATCAACCTGGTATATGTGCATACCTCACGCTCATCACGAAGGTAACGAGTCAACGTATCAGCAAATGTTAAAATACACGTTGTATGCTTGTTGTGCTTGAGTTGCCTCTTCAGGGTTCACTGCGTCTTCTGTTCAAAACCTGATCAGGCAATACAGCCAAGGTCGAATATTGTGACGCGTGAAAATGAAAGCAAAAATCTCTGTGTAATAGCTGTGTATAGGTCGGGAACCAGTTTTTTTGTCAAAACCATAACTCCTGGAATGCTTTGCAAAACGGGGTTAGTCCGAGTAAAGTGGGGATGAAAACCACAATATTTGAAGAACAAATTATGCGCTTCGCTCCTGGTAACAACAATCTTCCGAAAGTAAATCTCCTTTGACGAGGTGTCATGTATTAAAATACATGCCGGGGGCGGATCCAAGAATTTTTCCGAGGGGGTAAGGTCAGGGTTTTTTTATGTTTCCTCCTGGCGGACAAGCGGAAACGACTATGAAACATTATACATGTACATGCACTGTTCTAAATGGCGCACTTTAGTTAATCCTTATAATTTTCTCCATGTTTTACCTTTTTTGTCTCAGAGCAGAAAGAGGGGGGGTTGACCCCAAACCCATTGGATTCGCCCCTGCCTACAAGGTACAGAGGCGCACTTCACAGTGGGCAAAATCACGAACCGTTTGACTGGCCTGTTATCAAGGCCACAATGTGCAGTCACGGGATGGTACTCCAGACGAAGAAATTTTTTTAAAGCCAGAACAATCTTAATTATATATCCGGTCTGTTTCTGTGATAACTCAGTGTTTAATACATGAAATATATGTATATTATTTACAAAATACGAAAATCACAGCTGGTAAGATTTATTTTAACACATCGTATTTTTCGTGTCTCTGTCAAATCTTCCAATTTTCAGCTTTATTAATCAAGGATTCATTATTAACCCAAAAGGTTCCGGACAAAAAGTACCTGAACACAGTCTTAACAGTTTGGTGTGGATGAAATCCCATAAATAACCCATGCATCACAAAAATAGGGTCCAGCGAGTTAGAGAGTGACCCGGGAAAAGAAAATGTATAAAATGTACAACTGCAGTTATTTTTATTTACAGATTTTTTACATCAAAGTTTTCCCCCAAAGAATCAATATTTTTCATCAAAAATATTACAAGTCTAATTAAAAGTCATAACAAAGATAACTGCGAGTCTCACTTTTCGTCACACGAGAAAACGAAAAACTGGATACACAAGAAGTCAGCTTACTACAAACAGGCTATCTTCACTTAGGTCAAGCAAAAAAAACATTCATAAATGTTGTAATCCGTTCATGTACAACAACCAAATATTCTCATATCCCCTGGGAACAATGCTTCCGTACATTTCACAAACACAAATTAATTGTCTTTGCTGGATTGACATACTTGGGGCGATCAACATTTAACACATTCAAATGTACAACTATGTCTGTTTTCAGAAAGTCTGTCCCCTTTAGAAACCTCTTCTGGACTAATGTTAAACACTGGTAATGGCAGGTAACCTTTGCAAACACAGCACTCATGACGATGCAATGTGTCAGAAAGTATCAAGATTAAACTCTTCAGGGGGGAAATCACTTTTCCATCAATAATTTTGAGGAGTTAGTTTCAAGACTTTTAGACAAGCAAAGGTCTTTGAAAGCATTTAAACATTTTAATTAAATTTCAGATGATACCAGACTATTTCACTGAAAATGACAAAAATAATCTACCAAAAATGTTTTTTTCTTGACAAATTCTGTTTTAAAGTGATACCCCTACTCCCCCACCAAGTCT